GGCTGATGACGTCGTTGCTTGCAGGATGGTGAGCGCGTCTAAGAAGGCCATATGTCAGGGTACGGGCTCGATGCTACCCGCCAGCCGCTGTCCCTTCCTGCCTGCCCGCCACCCTGCCTCGTCCCGCCGGCCTGGCCTCCTGCCTGCGCGCTCGCCGTCGTCTGCCTGCTTCTCGCTCCCGTTCTCCCTCTCCGCCGCCGCGCAGCGCAGGCCTCAGGAGCCAGCGGCGCCGGCGTGCTCACCCTCATCCTTGGTCAGCGCTCTCCGCGGTAGCTCGATGGCTGCAGGGTTGCCTGCCGTTGCACAGGCTGCTCAACAACCTTCGGCCCAGCCTCCTGGGACGGCCTGCGGCTCTTTCCGCAACGTGTGCCCTGGGAGCTCTCGTCCCCCTCCGAGGCGCGCCGTTTTTTCATCGCGGGTCGTTATCACGCGGCCCTGCCGAAGACGGCTCCTGGGCCTCGGGGAGCTACTGCGAGATGTCGTCTGCTGTCGGGCACTCGTCCGCGCCGGGTGCCCCTGTCGACGGCGTCTCTCAGTTCCGGGCCCTCATCCCTCAAGCAGTGAGACAGCCGAGCATTTTCTTTGGGTGGAGGGCAAAGGGTGAAATCTGAGATGCAGTTTCGATGGGTTTTCGAGGCTTGAGTCTGCAAAGGGCGAGTCACAAGACGGATTGATTCTCGAGGTGCACAAAGCCCATCTGGATTTCACCCTGAGCCCTCCACCCTCAGAACATGCTCAGGACAGGAGAGCCTCCAGCACGAGGGGCTGGAGGCCAGAGGGCCCGTCGACCAGCTCGGCGCGCCTCCGTCCGCCGAGGCGAGGGGGCCCGTGGGAGGCCCGGGTGGCGAGAAGGGCCGCCCGCCGTCGGCCTTCTCCGCGGGGGCCCGGGGGTCAGGGCCCCGGTCCCTCGCAGGCCGAAGCCTCAGGGGGCCACACGCGAACCCTGCCCCCCTGCGCCCCCCACGATTTCTGAGGGGGGCAGGGGCCTCCTCCTCCTCCTCCTCCTCCTCCTCCTCCTCCTCCTCCTCCTCCTCCTCCTCCTCCTCCTCCTCCTCCTCCTCCTCCTCCTCCTCCTCCTCCTCCTCCTCCTCCTCCTCCTCCTCCTCCTCCTATTCCGCCTCCTCCGCCTCCTCCTCCTCCTCCTCCTCCTCCTCCTCCTCCTCCTCCTCCTCCTCCTCCTCCTCCTGGGGGTCGCTTCGTCTGGGAGCGCCCGAGCGAGGTGAGCCCCCCCCCCCTCCCCCCCTCGGAGATCGTGGGGGGCCGGGGCAGGCTTCGCGCGTGGCCCTCGCTGGCCGTCCCGGCTCGAGTCCTCGGGAGCCGGGGCTCCTGCGCGCTCTCTTCCGCGCTCGTGTGGGGGGGGGGGGCGGCGGGCACGGCAGCGGTGATAGCTCGCGGTGGTGGTGAAGGTGCTGGACGGTCGGAGTACAGTCGGGGCGTTGACCTAAGGAACCCTAAATCAGGAACGAGGCCCTTCTTTTCCATGAGTTAAACTTCGATGTCCCGTCGAAAGCATAAGGGAAGCCTGAGGCAAGCTGTGAAACACTCAAGGAACGCGGAGCCCCTCCCCAACGAAAAGGGTTCCTTCTTCAGGGCCCCGACTGTAAGTAGTCAAGGCGAAGCGGTGGCCACTCGAGACAGCGGCGGCTCTCCCTGGCGTTGTCCCAGCTTCTTCTCGTCGCCGCGGCCGGGTCCGCCTCGAAGAGCGGGCCAGGATGGCGCCCACGGGGGGTGCGGGGACCGACTCGGATTTTGCCAGGCGGGAGGGCCGCCGTTGTTTCGAGTGGCCCTCCTGCAACCAGTGGTACGGTCGGACCGAGGTATACGGTCGAGGTCGGTTCGGGGAGGGTGCTCCAATTTTCTTCGTGTTTTTTTGATGTTCTTGTGCTTCCTGGGGGAGGTACCTTCGAATGTTCTTCAATTTGGCCGGCGAGGGTGTTATGTTTTCGAAGGATGTTCTTCTGCCTTATGTCCGGCCGTTCTGGCAGCGGCAGCGGCTGGGGTCGTGGTGGCGTGCAGTGCCCGAAAACGAGGCCATGACTGCCGTCATATGGGGAATCACAAAAGACCTCGCGCTCCCGCTCCTTCCGCCAGGATCGCCTCCGGCAAGCACTTTCGGGGAACAAGCAAATTACATAAGCATGAACTTTCGGAGGTCCGCGCGGATTTCTCGGATCGGAGCTGGAGCCGCCTTGCGGTGCCTCCGCCGCCGCCCCTGGCGCGCGCTGCGCGCCAGGGGTGGGGATGCGGCACCAATTCGAGAAATCCGCGCAGACCTCCCAACGTTTATGTTGATGCCGTTGTTCAGCGAGCGAAGAACGGTATAACATATGTTTTTTCGCTGTCGGGGGCGCCTGTCCCTGGGCGGCTGGAAAGTTTCTACCCCTACGGTGCCACCGTAAGGGTATAAACTTTCCAGCCGCCCTGGGACAGGCGCCCCCGACAGCGAACAAGTGTATCTTATACCGTTCTTCGGCCGTTAAAACACTCCTTCCCCCCCCTGTCTCGGGTCGAGCGGCACGGGGCAATCTTGCGAGAGGAGGGGCGGGGCGGGGGGGCACGAGGGCTGCCGGAAGCGGCTGGCTTCGAGCCCGCCGCTGCCCGATTGCTTGTCGGCTCCTCCGGCGCCGGGCGCGGCAGGGATTGGGAGCCCCCAAACCGGTGGTGAGATACCAGGTCCTCCCTCCTCCTCTCCTCCCCCCCTCCTCCTCCTCCTCCTCCTCCCCTCCTCCTCCTCCTCCTCCTCCTCCTCCTCCTCCTCCTCCTCCTCCTCCTCCTCCTCCTCCTCCTCCTCCTCCTCCTCCTCCTCCTCCCTCCTCCTCCTCCTCCTCCTCCTCCTCCCCCCAAAAAGGTCACGGCTGGGTTTGGGGGCGCGGGGTCACCGCCGGGTTTTGTGACTCCTGGGCCCACCAGCGTCCGGGACATCCTCGGAGAACCGCACGAGTCCCCAAACCGGGTGGTGACACCGAATCGCCCGAGACTCACCGCCAGGTGTTGTCACCACCACGTTTGAGGACTACCAAAAGGAGCCTACTGCGTGCGGCCGATTCGCGACTCCAGATTTCGTAATAAAGGGGAGGGGGTCACAACCCTCCCAGACGAGAAGTTTGAGACCCCCCCAGACTATCCATGAAAGGGCGGCCCTTTGCCCGGACCCCCCCCCGAACCCTCCAAGACGGCTCAAATTAGCCCCCCCCCCCCGAATGTGACCCCCCCCCCACTTTGTTATGGAATCCGGAGTGCCCCTCTCTTCGCGATCCCCTTCGTTTGCGCTCCACTTTCACTCTTTCGATGTCTTGACTATTAACTTATTTTCTTTCAGTGCCCCTCTCTTCGCGATCCCCTTTCGTTTGCGATCAACTTTAGCTCTCTCGATTTCTTGACTATTAACTTATTTTCTTTCAGTGCCCCCTCTCTTCGCGATCCCCTTTCGTTTGCGCCAGCCCCGAGGGAGGCACAGCGGCACGTCGGCAGAACATAGGCAGAAGCCGTGTCGGAGGGTCCGCGCGCGGGCTCCTGGGATCGGTGCCGGGCGCCGGGCCTCCGATGCCTGTCTTGTTTTTTGTGTTTGTCCACACTGGGCCCTGACTCCTCCTCCCCTCCTCCTCTTCCTCCTCCTCCTCCTCCTCCTCCTCCCCTCCTCCTCCTCCTCCTCCTCCTCCTCCTCCTCCTCCTCCTCCTCGGCCTTCTGCTCCTCCTCCCCCTCCTCCTCCCCAGGAGGAGCCCAGGAGGGCCCCTGGCCAGCCCAAGAGGTCCCCAAGACGGCCCACGAGGGAGCCAGGACGACGGCCCCAAGCAGGGGCCCAGAGAGGATGCCCTACGAACATTTCAAGCCCTCCCCTGACTCCGGGTCCGCCCTACTTCGGCTTTTTTTCCAACTTAAAATTGCGTCGGAAATCCACCTCTAAGAGGCCGAAAAAGTAGGGCGGAAATTGCTGCACCCAACATAAAACAGGGCGGAAATCCACAGAAACAGCAACAGAAAAGTAGGGCGGAAATTGGCATCAGCGGGGCTTGAAGAGTAAGGCGGAAATTCCAAGCCCCACTTACGAATTTCCCCAAAGTAGGGCGGATCCGGAGTCAGGGGGTCCCAAGAGCCCTGGACCCCTTCCCTGGACCGGTTTTTCGTCCCGGCCCGCTTTAGGTAATTGTCTCAGGGCCTGGCGAAGGCCCGCAGGCGCCGAGAACGACGACAACCCTCCGTCTTCATTTTTCTTCAATGCGCTGTAGGTCTGCTGGGCCTGGTGGTGCCTCCCGTTAGTTGTATGGTTATGCCGTGTTCTCTTCCTCTGTTCCCCCTCGCCCTGCCAGCTTGAGCGTGGTCGTGGAAATGATTTTAATGAATGCTGCCTCGTGCCCCATAACTGCGTCGGTGCGATGGTGCCCCAGTGTCTGAGATGGACCTGTTGGGGCCTGTCTGGGCCCCCTCGTCTGTCTCCTGGTTTTGCATCCAGCCTCGGCGGGCAGCCGTGAAACATCTCACGAGCGGATTCGAACGCCCTGTCTGTGAAGAGTGCCTCTGCTAAGGCTCCAATGCCGTGCACAGGCCTCGCTAGGCCGCGGCTCGCGCAGGACTTGAGAGAAGCCTCGAACCACGGCGCGCCCCCACGCCACGAACGGTCGGACCGAGGTATAAGATCGAGGTCGGCTCGGGGAGGGTAAGTACCCCAATGTTCTCCGTGCCTGTTGGGTGCTCTCGTGCATGCTGGGGGAGGGTACCCTCGCATGCTCTCCAGTCTGACCGGCGGAGGGTCTCATGCTCTGGATGGATGCTCTTCAGGAGGGGAAAAAACACAGACACAAGTCATCGTCGAGTCCCAGAAAAGATGGGAAAACGTGGGAAGTGGGGGGGAAGACAGAAAACCCCGAACATATGGGAAAATATGGGGGATCATTTCATTTGTGTGTATTTATTTGTGTGTCCTGGGGCCCCTTCAGTTCTTCCGCCCCGCCCTTCCGCGCCCCCCACCGGTCGGGCGCCGCCGCCGCCGCCGCCTCCGCAGGTGCCGGGCGCTCGCCTCGGCCTTCTCCGCCGAGCTCCTGCCGCAGGCGCCGGGGGCCCAGCGGCGACGAGGGACGTCGTCGGCGTTGGCGGCGGCGGCGACGGCCCTTGAGATCCGGGCTTGGCGACGAGGACGTCGTCGGCGTTGACGGCGGCGGCGACGACCCTTGAGATCCGGGCTTGGCAGTTTTTCCCCACCGGGCGTCGTCGCCCGGTTTCGGGCTCCCAGGGACCATCACAGATCGATGCGGCTCGGAAGATGCTGCAGGAAGAGAATTAGGGCTTGTGGCTACAGTAGCGGTTTTGCGCCATCTGCATGCAGTTTTCTCGCAGCGTTTGATCGAGGGGACGGCGGCGGCGGCGACGACGAGGACGACGAGTGCGGGGTGGTGGTGGGAGGAGAGATACCGGCAACATGTTGGGAGGGAGGAAGGCGGGCAGGACGGTGTTCTATGAGATCGGTGGTGAAGGTGGTGGTCCATGGTAGTGATGGTGATGGCTTGTGTGGCTTGTGGTCAGTAATTGGTGATGGTGGTGATGGCGGTGATAACGATGAGGACGAACCATGGATATGATGATGATGCTGCTGATGATGTTGATGATGATGACGATGATGATGTTGCTGTAGTTGTTCCTGCTGACGATGGCGGTGGTACTGATGATGATGATGATTATGATGATGATAATGATGATGATGATGATGATGATGATGATGATGATGTTGATGTTGTCGACGATGCTGATGATACTGATGGTGATGAAGCTGATGCTGATGCTGCTGCTGATGATGATATTGATAATGATGATGATGATGATGATGATGATGGTGGTGATGATGATGATGATGATGCTGATGCTGATGCTGATGCTGATGCTGATGCTGATGCTGATGCTGATGCTGATGCTGATGTTGATGATGCTGCTGATGATGATGTTGATGTTGATGCTGATGCTGATGCTGATGCTGCTGCTGATGATGTTGATGATGATGATGATGATGATGAAGGATGATGATGATGATGATGATGATGAGATGATGATGATGATGATGATGATGATGATGATGATGATGATGATGATGATGATGATGATGATGATGATGATGATGATGATGATGATGATGATGGGGAGGAGGAGATGGATGAGGAAGAGGAAGAGGAAGAGAGGAAGAGGAAGAGAAGAGGAGGAGGAGGAGGAGGAGGAGGAGGAGGAGGAGGAGGAGGAGGAGGAGGAGGAGGAGGAGGAGAGGGAGGAGGAGGAGGAGGGAGGAGGGGAGGGAGGAGGGAGGGAGGGAGGGAGGGAGGGAGGGAGGGAGGAGGGGAGGAGGAGGGAGGAGGGAGGAGGAGGAGGAGGAGGAGGAGGAGGAGGAGAAGCAGGAGAAGGAGGAGGAGGAGAAGCAGGAGAAGGACGAGGAGCAGGAGGAGAAGGAGGACGACGACGAGAGACTCTACGGGGGTTCCCAAATGAAGCGCAGACTTAACGACGCGGAATAAGGTGACGCACATCCCCCAGGGGAAAATCCATGTGGGGGGCCCAGAGCTTCCCACGTTGCAGACAGCGCGAGGCCGGCTTGAATGTGAAGCAGATGGGCCCGCAGAGCGGAGGCTGAAGCTTCCACTCTGGAGGGGCCTGGGCCCTCTGGGGAGGGGCGCGAGGGTTTAGTTTTGGAGTGGCCATCCCCGAGGATCGACAACCTCCAGTCTGGATGGCGAGTTTTCATTCTGGGCGAGAGAGCCTACACCATGGGTGGCTTCCAGGGCAATTTTGAAGGCTTGGGGCCCTTTGGGAATGGTCCAGGGAGGGGGCCTGTAGTCTGGTTGCAGTCTGGGGGGGGGGTCCTGTCGTCCAGGAGGCGGCCCCCCGTTGTCCAAGGAGGGGGTCCCTGCAGTCCCGGAGGGGAGGACCTTGCAATCTGGTGGCGTCATCACAATTGGAGGGGGGAGGGGCTTGGGAGCGCAAAAGCATTTCCGACCCCGCGCGTGAGCCCTTTTGCTCTCGCGCCCGCGCGCCAAGCACGGCGCCCCTCACACGCAATTTAACGCGCACAACACTCAGAGCGTGAATTACCTACCCCGCTTTCGCTTACAGGCAAAACCAAGTCATACCGCGCGCCTCCTCGTCAAGCGGCCTGACCAGTACAGGCCGTAGTTTGGCATCGTTTGGTATCTCTTGGAAGCGAGGGTGGTCAAAAGCGAGGTAGGTTTGTTTTTCCCCCTAAACACGAAGCGCCAACATCGCTCGGGGGTTCAGTTGTCCTAGAGTGGCACCTGTAGTCCAGGGCGGAGGGAGGCCCATCTTGTGGTTCGATTTTGGGAGGGCCCGTGTAGTCCCGGGGGAAGCCTCTGTAATCTGGGGGGGGGGCCTTAAGGTGCTCGGAGGGCTCGACGACTGTTCTCCAAATCCACTTGCGTAGACCACGACATATGCTAGTCGAATCAATGTAATGTGCAATATTTGATTCTCCAGATCTGTCCATATGGATCTGGGCAAAGATTCAAAGATCTAGCGCGAGTCGAGAAGTAGCATAAATAGTCAAGCCCTGAACGAGAGGGGGGGGGCAGCTTCCTGGGTACCTGGAAGGTCCAATGTCATCTGAAGTTCTTCGAGGACTGCTTGCACTAAGGGGATCTTGCCGCTGCTGGCGTAACGAAAACACCCATGCAAACATGTTTTTTTTCGACGGAGCCACCCCGCAGGCCCTACATTTCAACGCTGCTTTCGCGGCCAGCGTAGTAGTTTAATCTTCGACATAGTAGACGCCCATACCTCAAACCCGCAGACACCTCCGTTCTCAACGCTGACATCGGGGGACGCGGGGGCTCTCAACGCATGTGCCTGGGTTTCTCCGTTTGGTGGTCGTTTTTTGACGCCGATGGCGGTAGCACGTAGCACCGATGATCCGAGTCGGTCCAGTGTCTCGGGTTCTCACTATCAGAATCGGTCCAGTCGCGGGGGGCGGGTGTGGGGAGGGGGTGAAGCGGACGCTGGAGGAGGCAGCAGGCAGGAGCAAGGGGAAGGAGGGAGAAAGGGGGGAGGACGAGGACGACGAGGCAGAGAGGGGGAGGCGTGGGGGAGGAGGCGGGGGCCCACTCCTCGCTCTCTCCTCCCTCCTCCTGCTCCATCCTCCTCCGCCCCTTCGGAGGCAGGCCAACCCATATCTCATGTGCCGTGCTCCCGCCTTTTATCCGACCTCCTGCACACGATGTTCGACCATGGAGTCCAAAGCCTCGACGCTCGACCCTCGGTCGAGGACGCTCGACGAGCGACGACCGACTATCGACCGACGGCGGCTCAGGGTCGACGACCGCCGACTGGACCGGCGACGGCGGCGAACCGATCCTGCGACGCGATGCGTGTTTCGACCCTTGGGCCCAGGGGTCTTGGCGCCTTCCCTTGTACAGCCGGGGCCCTGAAGAAGGAACCCTTTTCGTTGGGGAGGGGCTCCGCGTTCCTTAAGTGTTTCGCAGCTTGCCTCAGGTTTTCCTTAGGTTTTCGATGGGAAATCGAAGTTCAACTTATGGAAAAAAGGGGCCGCGTTCCTTATTTAGGGTTCCTTAGGTCAGCGCCCCGACTGTATTGCTTTGTGTCTCAGGTGTTTTGTTGCTGATGGCCCAGGGGCCCGAGCATGGGCGCCTGCATGCGGGACATCGAGGAGGAGCGCAGGGACTGCGCATACCATGACATCGGACGTCCTGGGCCCAGACTTCAACGCCGACCTCCCTGACTCCGGATCCGCCCTACTTTGGGGAAATTCGTAAGTGGGGCCTGGAATTTCCGCCTTACTTTTCAAGCCCCGCTGATGCCAATTTCCGCCCTACTTTTCTGTTGCTGTTTCTGTGGATTTCCGCCCTATTTGATGTTGGGTGCAGCAATTTCCGCCCTACTTTTTCGGCCTCTTACAGGTGGATTTCCGACGCAATTTTAAGTTGGAAAAAAAGCCAAAGTAGGGCGGATCCGGAGTCAGGGCTCCCGCTCCTGGGTTGCGTCGTGGCCAGGATTCTCGGCGACGAGGGCGCCCTGGCAGGCCCAGCGACATGCCCAGAAACGCAGAGGAGCCTCGGCCCTCGGCCCTCGACCGTCGACGACGACGACGACGACGACGACGACGACGACGACGACGACGACGACGACGACGACGACGACGACGACGACGACCCCCGACGACCTCCGACGGCCCCCGACGGCGACAACGTCGGCGGCGTCTCTCGGCAGGCGGCGGCGACAGCCGCTCTGCGGGCGCTCGTCCCGCCGCTGGGGCTCTGCGGGCCCCGGCCGCCGCGGGCGGCGGTGGCGCCGGGCGGCCGTGGAGGCCGGAGGGCTCACGATTTAGCAGTGCGGCAAGGGTCCATGATTGAGCACTGCGTCAGGTGCCAGGGGGTCCATGTCCTTGCGTCTCGCCTTGCCGTCCTGGTGCACTCACCTCCCCTCTCGCCGCCGTCCCCATGCTTCGTACATCGTGCTCACGCCGCAGCGGCGGCAGTTTCCAAGAGGGCTTCTAAGAGGCCAGGGGTGCTTCTAAGGAGGCTCCTTCCCTTCTCAGAACCCTCCCCCCCCTTCTCAGAAGGCCGCCTCCGTAGCGCCGCCTCCCTTGCGAGCGCGCGCCACAGAGTGGAGGTCGAGCTCCCGTTCTGGAGAGCGTCGCTCTGGGCGGCTCGGAGGGGCTCGATGTATGTACCACGCCGCCTGGCCAGCCAACGAGACAAGGAATTCGGTGGATCGTTGTGAAAAACTGTGTATCTCTCGGCGAGCCGTCCCCTCGACGTTTTGCGCCCAGATTCGAAGAAGATGTTAGCCAACGGGGGCCCCAAACAGTGTGTTACAAGGAGTCTGGTCGTGCAATATCTGTGGAACTCCACTGCTCGCGCAAACATCCCACCCACCCACCCGCAACTTGGTTTGCAAAACCCATGTGGCGGCGATCGCGATGAGTGCCTGGAATTGGCTGGTGCATCTCTGCGGCCCTGCTAGCCCGCGCATGCTCGCGCGCGCAGCGGCCAGCTAGTGTGGCGAGACCGACGCGGCCGCGGTGGCGCTGACCGCTGGGCACTTCCAGCCGGCACTTCAGTGCGAGTTGGTGACGTGGGCCGGCGCAGTATCATGACGACGCCGACAGCGGCAGACACGATGGTGAGAGTAGCGATGATGGTGACGACGGAGGTCATGACGACGGCAAGGCCAATGACGGCGCAGATGTTGATCATGCCCGCCGATAGCGATGACGATGACTTCGCGTCCGGGTTGAAGGTTTTAGAAGGATTTCGACATGCGCGCGCGGCCGACGCGCGTGAGTGGCCCGCGTCGTATTTTTTGGACACGGACCGTGCTCCCCAGCACGCGCGGAAGGGCGTTCGGATGAGCTCGACATGTGGCAAGAGAGGCCCACTTGGCAGAATTTGATGGCAAGAGAGGCCCGTTTGGCAGAATTTGATGGCATGACGACGCCGACGACGTCTCCGACGACTTCGACGACGACAACGACGCCGACGACAACGAAGACGACGACGACGACGCCAACGAAGACGACGACGAGGGAGGAGGAAGGACGACGACGGCGACAACGACGACAACGACGAGGGAGGAGGGAGGACGGCGACGACGCGAACGACGAAGAAGGAGGAAGGACGGCCACGCCGACGACGACAACGACGAGGGAGGAGGGAAGACGACGACAACGACGACGACGACGACGGCGACGAAAGAGGAGGGACGAGGACGAGACGCCGACGTCGGACGACGACGACGACGACGACGACGACGACGACGACGACGAGGGAGGAGGAGGAAGGACGACCACGGCGACAACGACGACGGAAACGACCACGACACCAAAGAGGACGACGACGACGAACACGAGGAAAGACAGAGGACGACGTAGGCGACGACGACGACGACGACGCGGGAGGAGGGAGGACGGCGACGACGACGACGACGACGCAAGAGCGCGCGCGCACGGTTTTGTTGAAAATCCGTGTTGCGAAACCGTGTGTTGTTTTAAAGGTTTTTTGGACACACGATTTTGAAATCCTTCCGAAACCGATGGGTTTTGAAGGTTTCCGGCATACGCGCGCGACGACGCGCGCGTCTGCACTTCGTCTCGTTTTTTCACAGAGGATTCTCGCGACGGCACACGCGCAAGGGCGTTCGACTGATTGCGACATGCGCGCGCGCGAAGCCCGTTTAATAGCACTTGGTGAAAATATTGAAAAAACCTATGGTTTTTGTTCGCAAGATTTCGCAAGAGTTCGCGCGGAAGCTTTTTTAGCAAATCAGTGTTGCGAAACCCTGTGTTTTTGTGTGCTGTTTGGAAACTCGATTGCAAAATCATTCCGGCACCGAAGGTTTTTGAAGGATTTCGGCATGCGCGCGCGACGACGCGCGCGTGTGCACTTCGTCGCATTTTTTGCAAGGGATTCGTGAACAAATGTTATGTTAGAACAACAAATGTCACCGCATAGTGTTTTTTACAAGGGAACCTCAGGGGGGGGATACCGGCTGGCCTGGGGCACGGCGATTTCATATTTAGGATGGACATGTGGTCAGAGTCACATATCATTTACATACCCGAAAGGGGGACCGATAACGCTGGGGGGGGGAGGAGTCTATTCTCTTTTTAGAAAGGAGAATTAGTTTCTGTTCGAAGTGAGTTGTCCACTCCACTGCTCGCGCTACCATCCCACCCACCCACCCGCAACTTGGTTTGCAAAACCCATGTGGCGGCGATTGCGATGAGTGCTTGGAATTGGCTGGTGCATCTCTGCGGCCGCGCTAGCCCGCGCATGCTCGCGCGCGCAGCGGCCAGCTAGTTTGGCGTGACCGACGCGGCCGCGGTAGCGTTGGCCGCCGGGTACTTCTCAGGGGGCATTTCAGTGCGAATCGGCGAGTTGGGCGGGCGCAGTATCATGGCAACGTCGACAGCGGCAGACGCGATGATGATGGTAACGATGCTGGTGGCGAAGATGACAATGACAACGGCAAGGCCAGTGACGGTGCCGATGATGATCGCGCGACGATATATGCCCACTTCGCTTTCGGATTTGTCGGGAGGGAACCCGAAAATGTGAGGCGCAGCTAGATATGTATAGTATACTTGGCATCGTTCGGACGTGTGCATTTTTCCTTCGGCGAGGGCCATCGAGGAGCATCCTTGATCAGTTGGCGGAAAAACCACGCACGAAACCGAAACAAGCATACGGAATTGACGTCCGAGCGATGGCGAGTATCAGCACTGCCGCCGAAGCATTTCGAAGCGAACAGCCACAGGAATGGATGCCGAACCGCCGTTCGGGCCCCGACTCGGGCCCCCAGCGGCCGCCCGGGACGGCCCGGGCACCCCCGAAAAGCTTTCGGGCACGGCGCAGCTGCTGGAAACGCATGCCCTCGACTCGACACTGCAGCGACGAGCAAGGAATGTATTCAGTCTTTTTAGCGGGTACGGCGGTACCATTCAGGGCCTTAGGTGCTGGTGTTGCGGTCGCACCCGCCACGCGTGGACACCCCACCTGTGGAACTAGTTTAGTCCGTAACAGCTCCCATGTCGTCGTAAAAAAGGAAAACTTCCGGGAACCTCCTGAGGCGAACAAAAAAAGGGGGGTCGAGCCCCCAGACCTCCGATGTTCTGAGCTTCTGACGTTTACAGTGCCCCCGGAGCTCTGGACCACTTCCCTGGGACTGGTTTTTCGTCTTGTAGCGTTTTTCGATAGTTCTGGGGCCCTGCGAGGGCCCCCAGACGCCGAAAACGACGGCAAACCATCGTCTTGATTCAAATGGCTTACGCTACTCCGCCGACCCCCAAAAGAGAGATGAAGTCAGCGGGTGAAGCATTTGGGGGCGTCCTGGGGACCCTCTGTGGCTTTTTGGGGGGCCTCTTGGGGGCCTTTTCGGGCCTCTTGGGAGCTTCTTGGGCGCATGCTGGCCGTCTAGGGGGTCCTCTTGGGGCGGAGGGCTCGGAGAGGCAGTTCGAGTCGCTCTCTTGGGCCCCTCTTCGGGCCCTGTTGGGGCTCTGTTGGGCCATATTGGGCGCCTGTTGGGCCGTCTTGGGGCCCTCTTCGGCCGTCTTGGGGCCCTCTTGGGGGCTTCTTGGGCCGTCTTGGAACGATCATGGGGGCCTCTTGAGCCGTCTTGGACGCTGTTGAGACTTAAAAAGAGAGATTGTGTTCAATTTATACGTTTCCCCATTGGATTTCAACGATTCTTGCTTCTTGGGGTCCTCTCGGGGGTCGTCCGTCTTGGGGCGTCTCTGGGGGCCTCTTGGGGGCCTCTTGGGGGGCTCTTGGGTAGTCTTGAGGCTATCTAGGTCGTCCTCAAGGACTCCTGTGCGTTTTGGAACCTACTTGAGCAAGCGTAGATCGATGCTTAAGCATCTTGGAGGCCACAGAGTGTAGAAATTGAAGCTCCAGAGGGTCCCGGGGAGCGTTGGTGAGCTCGGAGAACCCCCCTCCGGACTCCCCTTTGCCCCCCCCTCCCCCCCCTCTTATCGAATTTCAGGCCCCAGTGCAGGGGGAAGGGGGGAGGCAGCCAATCATCTCACACGCCTTTGCAACCCGGGCACGCGGGGGTCGGCAGATTCGTTTTCTGATACGCTGCAGGTCGAACCTCCCGTTCTGCCGAGGCGGCGATTTTTCCAGAGCCACTGCCTGGGGATCCATCTTCGCGGACCTCGGCGGGCGGTGGATATGGATGTAGTCGGGCGCCCTGGGGCCACAATGTATCCATACCCACCGCCCGCTGGGGTCCCAAGTCGTCGGTCCCCATGCGGTGGACATGGAAATGCCCACGCCATCGACATCAGAGGAGCTTGAAAAGTAGGGCGGGCCTTCCCGCCCTACCTGCGAACTCCCCCAAAGCAGGGCGGTTTTTGGAGTCATGCCTCCCCCCCTGGGGTAACAGCAGCGATCGTGCGCGGGGGAGCTTGGCCCACATGCTGGTGCTCCGCGTGCGCACGATGGCGATCGCAGCGCACCCCCGCCCCGACGTGCCCCACCCCGCCCCAATGGCTTTGCCGTCGTCGTCGTCCTCCTCCTCCTCCTCCTCCTCCTCCTCCTCCTCCTCCTCCTCCTCCTCCTCCCCCTTCCCCTCCTCCTCCCCCTGGTCCCGCTTTACCTTTGCGGGGAATCTCTTGGCTCTCCGAGGCGGAAATGCTTCGCTCCTCAGCTGCCCTGGGACGTCCGTTCTGCAACGCAGCACGGGTCGTGGTCAAAACGTCCGTGCTGACGCGCTGCGTGTGGGCCCAACGCGTCGGCCCACCTTTTGGCGAGCGCACCGCGCCGAACGTACGCTTTCAGTCTGCGTGCTGTCGGCTGCAGGGCCAGCGAACTTCTTCTGCGACAAATAGCGAGGTCGCGTAGGGCCGGCGAATTAAGATTTGCGTTTTGTTTCGTTTTGTTTTCGCTGCAGGTTCGCGCGGTCGCGTTTTGTTCTGAAGCGTTTTTCGTTTCGGACGGCAACCGCGTCGTTTTGTCTTGTTTTGTTTTGAAACTAAACTGTGAGCGGCTTGTGTCGGCGTGGTTTGTTGTTGCTTTTTGTTGTTAGTTTAAACACGTTCTAAACTTAAACAGCGTTTGTTGCCAGCGCTGCTGTGCTCCGGGTCAGCACGCTACGGGTTGCGCGTTGCGCCTCGGGGCGGCTGAGGTTCGCTCTGGCTCTGTGCTGCTGCACCCCACGAGATGCAGCCCGACATGCACCTGAGTCTCGGGGGTGGACAGACCTCCCACCCTGACGCGCCGATTAGTGAATTGGCCGTTTTCGGTTCGCGAGAGGGCGTCGCGGCCGTCAGTTTTGCGGGTCCAGAGCCGCCGGTTTCGGTCCGCTCTGTGCTTCTGCACCCCACTCGGGGGAGAAAAAGATACGGATACGTGTCGTCCCCCTTCGTTTTCGGCCTTTCCTGGTCCTCCTGGGGAATCCTCGTTGTCACCGCTGGATTCGCCTCGAAATTCTGGTCAGAACGCACCCCAAGAGAGGTCCGGGGACAACACGTATCCGTATCTTTCCGCCCCCCAACATACGGGATGCCGCCCGAGACACGCACCCGCGCGCGGAGAGCGAGCCAAAGCACGGCCAGGGCAGGCGCCCGGCAGGCTGTTGGCGGCGAGCCCAGGCCTACGTCGGGCGTGTCCCCCTACAGGAGGATCGTCGACGAAAGAATAAAGATACACCCAAAATGCACCAAAAAGGTAAACAAACAAACAAAAAAAAATATATATTACCCATAATATCCAAAAAAAACCAAAAAGGTCAAAACATATGCAAAAGATAGCCCCAGACTACTTTTGGAGCATTTGGGGGGTTATTTTTGTTGGGGTATTCTTGACTTTTCGTCGAACATCCCCCTGTAGGGGGGACGGGCCCGACACCAGCCCAGGCGGGTGCCCTTCGCCCGTGCCGCAGATCGAGCCGACGGCCAGAGCGCGCCGGCACGGCCTCCGCCGTGCCTCCAGGCGCGGCCAATCCCCTTCGACTCTCCGGCCACGTGCCGACGCGGCCCCAGCCGACACGCGTGCCGATCTCGGCGGCGAGGGAGGGGGGGAGCTGAGAAGGAGAAGGCCTTCTCAGAAGGCGGCGGGACTTCTCGGAAGCCCTCGCGCCCTCCGAGAAGTTTTTCTTCTGTCTTCGGGGAAGGCTTAGAAAGCCTCTCAGAAGTCTGGGGGACTTCCGAGCCTTCTGAGAAGGTACTCCAGATTTCGTAATAAAAGGGAGGGGGTCTGGACCCTCCAAAACAAGCCATTTCAGACCTCCCCCGTGGGAGAACCCTCCAAAACATCGTCCCCAGACCCCCCAGGCCCTCGAAGATAGCCTGGAAGAGACCCCCCCCGAAATGAGACCCCCCTCCCTTTGTTGCGAAATCTGGAGTACGCCCCTTCTCACTTCCCCCCCTGGCTCGCCGCCTACGACCCGATCCGGCCTCCCGAGTGCGATGCCGACCGATCCTGCCCAGTCAGGTCCCTCGAGCCCAGGCCCTCGGCGTCATGGCTTCTTCACAGCGTCGACCCCCCCAGACCCCCTCGAGTTATGAAAAATCACGACGGGGGGTTTTTCATAATTTTGGGCCTTTGGGGGCCCTCACCGGCCCTCGGGACCGTCAAAAAACGACTCAGGACGAAAAACCGGTCCCGGGGAAAGGGTCGAGACCTCGGGGGGTCGACGTCATGAAAAAATCATGACGTCGGGGGTCTGGGCCCAGAGGTCTCGACCCATTCCCCCGGACCAGCTTTCCATCCCGAGTCGTTGCTGGACGGTCCCGGGGCCCGGCGAGGGCCCCTAGAGGCCGAAAATGATCAAACGATTGTCCGTCGCGTTTTTGTCTCGACGCGAAGGGGTCTGGGAGGGCCGCAGGAGTTATCTTCGGGCCCGCGGTGCCATCGGAAGACTATCGGGATGGTTCCGAGGACAAGAGGGCCAGGCCCATCCAGGGGCCATGGACTCAACGAAATCCGATTCGATCCGATCTCCCGCATCCGATGCCGACCGATCTTGCCCCGCCAAGTCCCTCGACCATGACTCTGGATCCGCCACATTTTTTGGTTAAGTTCCAGATTTGAAAACATGCGGGACTTGCACCCCAAACGATGCGACAAAGTATGTCGGAAAATAGCTTCCTCAGAAAAGTAGGGCGAATATCTCCGCAAACCTATAGCGTGAACGGCGACGGCAAAGCAGGGCGGAAATCGGCGTCAAAGCAGCTTGAAAAGTTAGGGCGGGAAGGTCCGCCCTAGTAGCGAAATCGTTCAAAGTACGGCGGATCCGGAGTCTGAAACCTCTGAGCCCATCCCTCTTGGTTTAAGGGCCATCGTTCGGGCCTCTGGCGGCCGTTCGGGACGATCCTGCTGCCCCCCAGAGCGCCCTCGGCGAGGCGCAGCTGCCCGAAGGCAGCCCGAGGCTGGGAATTTCCGCCGAGGACCCTTTCGAAGCGAGTCCCCCCCCCTCTCGCCCTTGGAATCAGGGAAGTCTTGTCGGGGGTGGACAGAACCCCCAACAGTGACACGTCGATTAGTGAATTGTCCGTTTTCGGTTCTCGAGAGGGCGCCGTGGCCGTTCCTTTCCAGGCTTGCGCCCGCCAGGTTTGGGCCTCAGGTCGTTTTCACTAAACCACGTTTTACTAAAGGGGGGTCTGTCCATCCCCGATACTGGGACCCCATCTAGGAAGATCTAGGAAGGCCTCGATGGGTGCCTCCCGCACGGCCCGGCAGCGGCCCGTCGCGGCGCGGTGGGCTCCTCGCGCGGGCGCGTCGGGGGGGCGAGGAGGAGGAGGAGGAGGAGGAGGAGGAGGAGGAGGAGGAGGAGGAGGAGGAAGAGGAGGAGGAGGAGGAGGAGGAGGAGGAGGAGGAGGAGGAGGAGGAGGAAGATCTTGGCGGCGCGCGCACGGGGGTGGCGCGAGGGGGCAGCCTTGGAAGGAGGCCTCTCAGAAGCCGGGAGGGGCCTCGCGCTGCGCCCTCGTGCGCGCCGCCAACCGAGCGACGCAAAAGAGGGGGTCGTCTGCGCCGACGTGGGCGCGCAGAGCGGCCCGCGTGAGGTTGCGCGTGAGCGCCCTTCGTCTACAACCCAGACCCCCTCGAGTAATGAAAAAATCATGACGGGAGGTTTTTCCTTATTTTTGGCCTTTGGGGGCCCTTGCCGGCCCTCGGGACCGTCAAAAAAGGACTCAGGACGAAAAACCGGCCCCGGGGAATGGGTCGAGACCTTGGGGGGTCGACGTCATGAAAAAATCATGACGTCGGGGGTCTGGGGAGCGCCCTTCGTCTACAATGTAGCGTGCCGCGCTGGCGGCACGCGCAAACCGCCGCGTAAGGTCGCTGTGCCATCTCGCGCAAGACCCATTTCTGATCGTCGCCCAACTGGATTCGGTAGCAAATCATGGGAGCCTCATGTACCCTCGCAACTCTCTGTCTTCAGCGTCGACTAGCGTCGATTAGCGTCTGGAAGTCGATGAGATAGCGCCGATTTAGCGTCGGCCAGCGTCGATTAGCGTCGATTTAGCGTCGATTAGCGTCGATTTAGCGTCGACTAGCGTCGATGCGCAAGAGCCGACAAGATGGTATGGGAGGCTCCCATGAGTTGCCACCGAAACTGAACCCAGACCCCCAACGTCGTGATTTTTTCACGACGTCGAGCCCCAGAGGTCTGGACCCTTTCCCCGGGACCGGTTTTTCGTCCCGAGCCGTTTTTGGACGGTCCCGAGGCCCGGCGAGGACCTCCAGAGGGCGGAAATAGCGAAAACCCTTCCGTCGTGATTTTTTCACGACGCGAGGGGTCTGGGGAGCCAGGAGCGTCCCTCAAGGGCCGCAGAGAAGAGTCAGGAGCGGGAAAAAACACGCAGACACAATTCATCATCGATTCCCCAGAAAATATGGGAAAATATGGGAAGCGTGGGGGGGGGGAGACAAAAACCCAGAAAATATGAGAAAATATTGGGAATCCAGTAATTTGTGTGTATTTGTTTGTGTGTCCCAGGGCCCCTTCAAAGAGGCCGCTCCCAGCCGCGCCCGAGCCTCGGCCCGGAGCGCGGGCCGCCCCGGGAGCCTCGGCGGGGAGCACGGCGCCGCCGCCGGCCCCGGCGCCCGCACCTGCGCGCAGAAGCGTCGCCCCGCGCGGGGGCCGCCTCTCGGGAGGGGAGGGAAGAACGCCCAGAGCCCCTCGCGTCGTGCAAGAATCCCGACGGGAGGTTTTTCGCTATCTTCGGCCTTTGGAGGTCCTCGCCGGGCCTCGGGACCGTGAGCAAACGACTCAGGACGAAAAACCGGTCCCAGGGAATGGGTCGAGACCTCGGGGGGGTCGACGGAATGGGTGAAGACCCAGAGATCCAGCGTATTGAAAAAAAGCACGACGGGAGGTTTTTCACTGATCTCGGCCCCTGGGGGCCCTCGCCGGGCCTCGGGACCGTGAAGTTACGGCTCGGGATGAGAAGCCGGTTCCGGGGAAGGGGTCGAGACGTCTGGGGACCGCGCATGGAGAAAAGTCACGACGTCGGATCTCTGGGGAAGCGCCGCCCCGCGCGGGGGGGCCGCTTCTCAGGAGGGGAAGGACACGCAGACACAGTGGATCGTCGATCCCTCGGAAGATGTGGGAAAAGATGGGGAATCTTGGGATTCGTATCTATTTCTTTGTGTGTGTCCCCTGGCCCCTTTCGTTTCGGTTCAGAGGAGAGCGAGCTGGGACGGGGTACGGTTCTGGGCCTCCCAGGTGGGGTCCGAGCAGCTGGGGTCGGAGGATCGGTCCGCATCGCCGATGCATCACCGATGCGGCTCGATGTGGGGCCCGATTCTCTCCACGCCGACTGCGCCGATGCAACGCCGACGTCGACGTTGCATCGCCGATGCATCGGCGATGCATTGGCGATGCGGCGCGATCCTCCGGCCCCATTTATTCGGACCCCATCTAGGCGGCCTCTGATAGTCGGGCTGCTGAAATCAGGCACGCCAGATAAGAAACGAAGCTCATGTTGGGCACCTGAAAGAGCCTGGCTGCATGAGGAGGGCTAGAGGCACAACCATGGAACGACCCAAGGAACAGCGAGCCTCTTCCGAACCCAAAGCGGTCCTTATTTCAGCGTCTTGACTGCAAGATGGGGTAGGCCTATCACTCTTACGTGGCACCCCGCAGTTGCGGATACGAGTGAGGGGGCGTTCGCGGGGTGGGTCGCGGGTGGGTAGTGAGTTCAGACGCGGCAGGTGGGTCAGAGTGAGGGGGCCGATCGGCCATTCATTGTCCCTGAGCGCGTGGCAACAGGGGTTCCGCGGTGCGGATTGCCGTTGCTGTGTAGCTGAATCTTCACTTCGGAGGAATCTGTGCTGTTGATCCCCCCCGTGCCCATTTTGCATGTTTCACTTGACGCGCTCCTCCTGGGGCTCGCACCCTGCCGGTGTTTTCGAAAAAAACGCCCATCGGCAACGTTCAAGGGATAGCGCAAGCTCGCCCCCCGCGCCCCCAATTTCAATGTTCATCCTGTCGCGCAGGAAGCGTTTTGCAAAAGTGGGCGTTTATTTCGAAACGATTCGCACTCCCCCGCGTCGAACGCCCCCAACTTTGAGATTTGGGGCCCGGGGTTGGACACGCTTCAACCATGATTACGGATGGGCGTCTTTTTCGAAAACCGCGGTGTTTCTCACAAGGGCAAGTCTTGGGGCTCAGATTGTGCCCCTGGCCCCCTGTTTACAACGACAGCGGCTCCCGCCGGATACGTCCCCACAATGTATGCCAACGTCGCGCTCACGGGCTCTGCAGGAGTCGCTCTCTCGCCGGGGACCTCCTCGCAGTGTACTCAGACGCCGCGCCCTCCACGCTTAGGAGTCACGCTCTCGCGCTGGCCTTTCGCAGGATTTGGGAATCGCGCTCTCGCCCGAGATCTCCTCGCGATTCATGCGGGACGCACGCTTCAGCAACCCGCCCGCTCGACCTGGCCGCCTGGGCCTGCCTTCCCGACCCGCCCGTTAGGGTCTACCCGCCCGACCTGCCCGACTGGTTCTGCCACATGTTTTCTCCTCCTAGCCACCTTCCTGCTAATTTCTCTCGTGCCCCATTGCTGCCCTTCTTGGCCCCAGCGTAGCCCCTTGTGCCCCCTTCCGCTGCCTATTGTGGCCCCGCTGCTGCCCTCAGTGGCCCAGACGCTGTCCTTCGTGGCCCCCAGTCGCTCGTTCCCTCAGTGGCCCCGTTGCTGCCCTTCGTGGCCCCAGCGTAGCCCTTCGTGGCCCCCTTGCTGCCCTCTGTGGCCCCGTCAATGCCCTCAGTGGCCCCATTGCTGCCCTTCGTGGCCCCGCTGCTGCCCTCAGTGGCCCCCTCGCTGCCCATTGTGGCCCCATTGCTGCCCTTGGTGGCCCATGTATACGCCCTTCGTGGCCCCCGCTCGCTCGTGCCCTCAGTGGCCCCATTGCTGCCCTTCGTGGCCGCTGCTGCCCTCAGTGCCCCCCCCCGACCCAACCGTCCGGGTCTGCCGCTGTTTTCCGGATCCTCTCTTAAGCCCCCCACTTTCTAATCTCTCTCGTCCGCAGTTCTGCTCCCTCCCTCTTGTCCCTTGCCTCCCTCCCTTCCCCCACTCCTTTCCTCCTCGCTCTCTCTCTCTCTCTCTCTCTATATATATATATATTTCTCTCTCCCTCTCTCTTTCTGTCGCTCTCTCTTTTTTTTTTTCTCTCTTTCTCTCTCTCTCTCTCTCTCTCTCCCTCTCTCCTTCTCTATATCTCTCTCCTTTCTCACTCCTCTTGCTCTCTCAGGAGCTGCGCCCAATACACGTGGCAGGTCAGGAAGATGTACCCCCCAGAGGGGGTACGATCGAAGACGAAGAGGGCGGCGATCGGGGGTTTGGAATATACGTGGTGAGGTACGCGCGAGCAGATAAGAGCGAACAGTCTTAAACTGATTGTTGTTGTTGTTGCTGTTGTTGTTGTCGTCGTCGTCCTCACCCGCGACACCCCCGCGACACCCCCGCGCCCACCCGCGACCCACCCGCGATCAAACCCGCGCCCGCCCCCATTACTCTTATCCGCAACTGCGGGGTGCTACGTTATCATCATGTTGTCAGTGGCTCTTGTGACTCAAAGGAGAGGTGGCAGGTGCCAGTCCCCAGTGCCAGCTCTGTACGCAGGTTGGCCCTCTGCACTCAGCATGTGCACAGCATCGCTGAAACAGCGATACCCGACAGCCCATGTTGTTGAGTTGAGATATCCGAGGCCGTTCGAGCTTCGGGTCTCTGGTTTTTCGGGCGTGCTCCAGCCTCCTCCGATGCCCCCGGAGGTCTCGGCCTGCGGAAGGGCGGCTTTGACCCGGAGGCCGAGGAGGAGGAGGAGGAGGAGGAGGGGGGAAGAGGAGGAGGGGGGAGGAGGAGGAGAAGGAGGAGGAGGAGGAGGGGCGATGCCTTCCAGCGGCTGCGCCTCGCCGAGAGCTCTTTCTGTGGGTGCCCGGGCCGTTCGCAACGGCCGCCGGCGGCCCGACCCGACGGCCCGAAAGTCACGAGAAAGCCACGGGGGACGGGGATCGGAGGGCGAGCCCTCCTCCTCCTCCTCCTCCTCCTCCTCCTCCTCCTCCTCCTCCTCCTCCTCCTCCTCCTCCTCCTCCTCCCCCTCCCCCTCCTCCTCCCCTCCTCCTCCTCCTCCCTCCTCCTCCCTCCTCCTCCTCCTCCTCCTCCTCCTCCTCCTCCTCTCCTCCTCCTCCTCCTCCTCCTCCTCCTCCTCCTCCTCCTCCTCCTCCTCCTCCCCTCCTCCTCCTCCTCCTCCTCCTCCTCCTCCTCCTCCTCCTCCTCCTCCTCCTCCTCCTCCTCCTCCTCCTGAGATCTGGGCGAGCTGAGGCAGCGGCACCCCGACGGCCAACGCACCGAAACACCACGGGCGGAGGTGCTCTGCAGCTCTCGGCCGCCAGGGCCCTCCTCTCGCAGGGCCCCGTAAAAACCGCCCCACAGCGGCTCTCGGGTTATTCGGGAAGTGAAAACCGGCCCCGGGGGAAGGGGGGACCGATCCAGAGATTGGATTTCTGGGTAGTCGGCCTTCGGAGCCCCACAGTCGGGGCGCTGCAGAAGGAACCCTTGGTGCTTGGGAGGGGCTCAGTGTGCCTTGGTTGTTCTACACTTCGCCTTCGGTATGCCCTTGGTTTTCGATTGGAGATCGAAGCTGAATTTCTAAGGGAGAGAGGGGCCCCGTTCCTTATATTTGGGGTTCCTTAGGCCAACGCCCCAACCGTCTCCGCGCCACGGCCGGAAGCATCGACTACACGTAAGAGTGACCCTTCGCCGGAGTGACCTTTGGTGCGGGCCCCCTGGGGTCCCCGATCGCCGAACGCGAGGCGGCAGTGGCGTCTTGCGCGCTTGCGTGTTGGACCCCCCGCGGCCCCCAAGAAGCCGCGCACCGAAGGTCACTCTTACAGTCGGGGCCCTGAAGAAGGAACCCTTTTCGTTGGGGAGGGGCTCGGAGGCTCCGCGTTCCTTAAGTGTTTCGCAGCTTGCCTCAGGTTTTCCTTATGTTTGTCGGTCGGAAATCGAAGTTCAACTCATGGAAAAAAGGGGCCTCGTTCCTTATTTGGGGTTCCTTAGGTCAACGCCCCCGACTGTACCCAGGGTCACTCTTACGCGTAGCCGAAGGCAGATCGGCGAGCCGTGGCGCTCGGGCCCCCCGCGGGTGCGCCCTCCACGGCGGGCGCGATGTGCCGCGCGCCGGGCGCGGAGCGTCCCTCCCTAAGTACGCTGCAGGCTCCCACGGTGCCGGTTTTCCTGGCCTGCCCTGCCGCCGCCGTTGCCGCCATGCCTCGCTGCCCTCCCTCCCTCCCTCCCTCCCTCCCTCCCTCCCTCCCTCCCTCCCTCCTCTCTCCCTCCCTCCCTCTCTCATCCCTCCCTCCCTCCTCCCTCCCTCCCTCCTCCCTCCCTCCCTCCCTCCCTCCCTCCCTCCCTCCCTCCCTCCCTCCCTCCCTCTCTCCCTCCCTCCCTCCTCCTCCCTCCCTCCTCTCCCTCCCTCCCTCCTCCCTCCCTCCCTCCCTCCCTCCTCCCTCCTCCTCCTCTCCCTCCCTCCCTCCCTCCCGACTATTCGGGTGCGGACAGAACCCCCAACAGTGACACGTCGATTAGGGAATTGTCCGTTGTCGGTGCTCGAGGGGGCGCCGTGGCCGTTCTTTTCCAGGCTTGCGCCCGCCAGGTGTGGGCCTCAGGTCGTTTTCACTAAACCACGCTTTATTGACGGGAGGTCTGTCCAGCCCCGAACTATGCATGTGATCAGATATTTTGGGACAGTTGGGAAGACTTCCTCCACCACATTCAGTAAGCGGGCTCCGGCCCACCCGCGCTGCTCCTAAGGGGCCCGCCGGCCGGCCGGCGGACTCAGCGCGCTCCGCTTCCGCTCCGCTTGTTCGAGGAGGCGATTTCCGCCCCGCTTTTGTCGCATCGCTCGGGGTGCATTGACAGAGCGCGGCGGAGAAGTTGAAGGCAGGGCATTTCCACACAGCCTTGTACACAAGTTGAAGTCGGAGAATCTATTTACGAAGCACGGCGGTTCTGGAGTCAGGGGTCGACTGAGATCGGGGCCCAGTGCTTTTACACGGGGCGTTTTCGCCTGGTTTCGGGCGCCTAGACCATTACAGATCGATGTGGCTCGAAATATGCTGCGGAAGGGTGGGGTCTGGGGTTCCGGTCGTGATTTGTTGCGATGTTCTTGTTTCGGCAACGTCGGGTCTCAAGGAGTTGACACATCGCTGTTTGGCCTTCGGGGGACCCCCCGTCACCACAGCTGGAAGCAGCTCGGAAAATTGTGGTGCTTGGACCCCAGGAGGCGTCCAGGGACCCATTTTGAGCCGCCGCTGTCTCAACTCGCCCCGCTCCGATATAGATCCGATCAGTCCGATGTCGATGTCGATTCCGGCCGGCCCGATCCGATTCGGCTCCGTTATCCAGCTGCCTACGGCAAGTCCCACCACCGTGCTGGGTCATCCCCTCGGGGGTCTCTTGGAGGCAGTTTCGGAGCCTCTTAGGGGCCGTTTGGGGGCCTCTTTTGGACATCTTGCGGACCTCTTGGGGCCTCTTGGGGGCCTCTTGGGCGCCTCTTGGGGCCTCCTGGGGCCTCTTGTGGCGGAAGGCTCGGATTCTCAATTCGTGTTCCTTCTCTTGGGTCCCTTTTGGGGCCGTCTTGGGGCCCTCTCGGGCCGTCTTGGGCGCCTCTTGGGCTCTTGTGGCGCTCGTGGGACGTCTTGGCCCTCATGGAGGCCTCTTGGGCAGTTTTGTGGTGGTCCTGTGGGCCTCTTGGGCCGTCTTGGAGCATCGGAAAGCCGAACAGGCGAGAACGCCAAAATGCATCAAAAACCTAAGAACATCACTGATTTGTCCCTCTTGGAGCCCTCTTGGGAGTCCTCTTCGAGGCCGCTTGGGCCATCTTGAGGCCATCTTGAGGCCATCTTGGGCGTCTTCGAGCGATCGTTCGGCGATTCGGGGCCCTCTTCGACCTTCTTGGGAGCCTCCTGGATCGCCATGGAAGCGTTGCAGATCCCCAGGAAGGCGCCATGGCCGCCCAGGGACCCCTGGGAGCAGGGGTGGTGCAGTCGGCAGAGTGTGCCCCGGAGGATGGGGGGTTCCGTCAGAGGACTGCAGGGCCCTCCCAGGTAGCCCGTTGGCATTCTTCCACGCCTCAACGTGACGGAGGCGCGGTGGCGGCTTCCAGCGACCCGACGTGAGACCCGATGGTCTGCCCGGCGCTGCCGTGCGTCCTGGCGCGGCCAGTCCAGCTCGGTCTTTGCGGCTCCGTGCCAATGCAGCCCGGCTCGGCGCACACTTCTCGGGCCGGGCGAACGGGGGGGATTGGGAGAGGGGGGGTTACGAAATTTGCTGCATGCAGCTGGTTTCGGCCTCACCGAGGGGCCCATTCCTGGATACATACGTATAGCCGCCTCCGGCGCCGGGAGGCGCCGGGAAAATCAGCTGCGTGAGCTGATTCTCAAGCCCCCCCTTTGCCATCCCCCCCTTTCGCCCGACCCGAACTTCGCTCCGGTCCGAGCTTCCGGTTCGATGCGAACTGATCCTGCCGACGTCGTCGCGTTCGTCGCCCGATGTCGGCGCTCGTTTCTCCAGAGCCTCTGCCTCCAGGAGCTGTCCTCGGGCCCGCGGTGCCATCGAACAACTGTCGGGGGTTTGGTCCCAGGGGCGCCCTGACTCCAGATCCGCCCTACTTCGGTTTTTTTTCCAACTTAAAATTGCGTCGGAAATCCACCTACAAGAGGCCGAAAAAGTAGGGCGGAAATTGCTGCACCCAACATAAAATAGGGCGGAAATCCACAGAAACAGCAACAGAAAAGTAGGGCGGAAATTGGCATCAGCGGGGCTTGAAAAGTAAGGCGGAAATTCCAAGCCCCACTTACGAATTTCCCCAAAGTAGGGCGGATCCAGAGTCAGGGTTTTGCAGTCGCGGGATCGACGATCGCTCAAGCTGGTACAGCTAGATCGGGCTGTGAAAAAACTGACTTTGCACCGTCGGGCAAGGTCAAAACGAAGGGCTCAACAAAAACACGGTGCCAGAGATGTGGAACAGCCTTTGCGTGATGGAGCGTCGCTCGCTGAAGCTCGAGATCGGCTTGGTCCACTCGTCGCACGCATCTCGGGCGTCAGGGCCTGGCTGTCGGTGTGAAACTTTCTGGGCGTGTGTGCGTGTGTCTGTATATACACCTATTTATGTATATATATATATATATATATATGTATATATAATAGCTTTATGCGTATACACACGCATATATTTTTTCAACGAGGTACATATGATCCTAGGTCGAGGGATCACAGGCACCGCCCCAGATGCGATGGCTCCCAGGGTTCCACGGGCCACCTCCACCCCCCCAGATGGGATGGGGGGGGACGGCGACGATGACGACGACGACGGCGACGACGTCGACGACGACGACGACGACGACGACGACGACGGCGGCGACGACAACGACGACGGCGACGACGACGACGACGGCGGCGGCGGCGGCGACGACGACGACGACGACGACGCCGCCGACGGACGACGACGCCGACGCCGACGCCGGCGCCGACGCCGCCGCTGACGCCGACGCCGACGCCGACGGACGCCGACGCCAACGCCGCCGACGCCGACGAATGACGACGACTACGACGACGACGACGACGACGGCGACGACGACGGCGGCGGCGGCGACGACGACGACGACGACGACGACGGCGCCGCCGACGCCAACGACGCCGACGCCGTCGCCGACGCCGGCGCCGACGCCGACGCTGACGCCGACGCCGACGCCGACGCACGCCGACGTCAACGCTGCCGACGCCGACGGACGACGGACGACGACGCCGCCGACGACGACGACGACGACGGCGACGACGACGACGACGGCGGCGGCGACGACGACGCCGACGACGACGCCGTCGACTCCGACGTCGCCGACGCTGACGCCGACGCCGGCGCCGACGGACGCCGACGCCAACGCCGCCGACGCCGACGGACGACGAGGACGACGACCACGACGACGACGACGACGCTGACGCCGACGCCGACGCCGACGGACGCCGACGCCAACGCCGCCGACGGACGACGACGACGGCGACGACGACGACGACGTCGTCGACGGCGACGACGACGACGACTACGACGACGACGACGTGACGGCGGCAGCGAGAACGACGACGATGAAACCGACAACGCCGCCGACGCCAATGCTGCCAACGCTGACGCAAGCACTGGCGCCGACGCCAACGCCGCCGACGCCGACGGACGACGACGACGTCGACGACGATGACGACGACGATGACGACGACGACGACGACGACGACGACGCCGACGCCAACGCCGCCGACGCCGACGGACGACGAGGACGACGACCACGACGACGACGACGCCGACGCCGACGCCGACGCCGACGGACGCCGACGCCAACGCCGCCGACGGACGACGACGACGGCGACGACGACGACGACGTCGTCGACGGCGACGACGACGACGACGACGACGACTACGACGACGACGACGACGTGACGGCGGCGGCGACAACGACGACGATGAAACCGACAACGCCGCCGACGCCAAGGCTGCCAACGCTGACGCAAGCACTGGCGCCGACGCCAACGCCGCCGACGCCGACGGACGACGACGACGACGTCGACGACGATGACGACGACGATGACGACGACGACGACGACGACGACGACGACGACGGCGCCGACACCAACGACGGCGATGACGACAATGACGACGACGACGTCGACGACGACGACGACGACGACGACGACGACGGCGGCGACGACGACGACGACGCCGACACTGGCGCCGACGACGACGATGACGACGACGACGACGACGACGACGACGACGACGACGACGACGACGACGACGACGACGGTGCCGACGCCGACGAAGGCGATGACGACGACGACGACGACGACGAGCCACCCCACACCCACAGGGTGACGACGTGGTGTGGTGGTAGGTGACGGAGGTGACCGGCACCCTCCACCACACCACGCCCACATGGCCATGAGCACAGGGAGGGGAACCCATCCCTTCGAGGCCTCCGCGAGGCTCACGGGCGTACCCATCCAGCGGTGGTGAGGGGCTCTATCCCATATGCATTGGAGGTGGGTCGGAGGGGGGTGGGGGAAACCCTGGATCATAAACGTATAGATATTTGCGGAAAGCGCAGCATAGCCGCAATGGTATCTTTTTGTGAGGAGGGTGTAATTTTGAGTAAGTTCTTCGTGCAGTCTCAGCAGGGCAAGACCGTCGGCAGGTGGACGGGCGCACTGCTCATCCTTTCGACGCTTGCCAGTCGAGATTTCGACTATTACATGTAGGACGGGTTCTTGTCCCCCGCGCTGGGCTGTGTGTTGAGTCTGGAGAGGCGAGATCTGCCCAGCGATCGGCTGCAGCCAGGTGCATGCTGATTCCAGGCTGGAGCCGCTGGCCGATTTCGTGGAGGGTGCGTGCAAGGACACGGAGGCTGCAGGTTCTACCGCGACATTCTCATCGATTTTACGGCAGGTTCGCGCCGCGCTGGCCAGGCGGCGCCCCCTACCGCGAGGGTCGAGGTTGAACGCCGCCAGTGGCCTAGAATCGGCCGTTATCGAAAAAACCGCGCTGTCGAAGAGCGGCGATCGTTCAAGGCTGGACGACCCACACGGTGAACAAGAGCCAACGCCGACGCTACTGCGACGTGAACCAGCTGTATGCACCTCGTTCTCCAGAGCCAGAGTGTCCCCCCCCCTCGGGACTTCGACACCTCGAGGTGTATCCTCGTTGCGCCCCGGGCTCATTTTGTTCTGGTGCCGAGCCCTTGCCCGATCTGTGCGCGGGGCGTCGCTGCTTCTCGTAGCGACTCCGTGGCCTCGTGCGCTCCGCTGGAGAGGCACGACGCGCCACTCGCCATCTCTCGAAGGCCACCAGGATGGCTGCCAGCGGCTCGTCTCCAGGACGTACTGCGGCCAGACGGCCAAGAGATGCACCAGGGGGGGTCGCGGCGCCCGAGTGCTTCCTGGCCCCCTCGTCGTCGACATCGCTGTCGAGGCCGCCAGGCCGCAGCCGGCGATCCCATAGAGAAGCAGCTGTCTGTGTTCGTCCCTGCCCACTCTGTTTTTCAGTCGTTCGGTCGCACTGCGGGCAGGAGCTCTTGCCTTGGCGTGGCGCGGCGGCGGGCCCTGCGACACGCTGTGCCTGGCAAGCCGACGGCCTGTCGCTCCGCCTCGCGGGACGGAAGGCCGGGGGGCGAGACTGGAGGGGCGAAAGGAAGCGACATTGACGGGGCACATCAACAGCCTTTGAGTTTGACTGGATCGAGGGCTCTCACCCCAGAGGGCGCGAATATCATCGCGCTTTGCGCGTCGCCGCCTGGATCGCAAAGGTGCCCTTCTCCACGACGTCGGCGCGAGAGCGCAAAGGTAATCTCGCGTCGCAAATCGCGGGGTGCGATACGCAAAGTTACTTGGCTTAGCAGACGGACGGACGGAAGGACAGCCTCGAGCAGCCCCACGGTGAACAGAGCCGGGCTGCCTGACTGTTGTGCAGAATGTACCGACAGGGAGGTCGTCGAGCGAATGCTTGTCGAATGAGTGGGATTCGGCGGCTTACAAAGGTAAGCTTATGCATCGCGTGCTCTAGGTGACTAGCATCTACGAGCCATGCACATGCACGTTACGTCTGCGACCATATGACCACCACCCGCGATGCTTGCACTAACGCTTGTACTTCCGCCGATGGTTGTCCGAGCTGTTATGATCGCTGGACTCCCAGCCATGACTGCTACGACATGTCTCCGTTGCGACCGCAGCGAGCGTCATACATTTCTGCGATGGTCTTGGCGTGCCTCCTGCAGCCGTTTGCGGCCCAACTCCAGAGCTAGAGAAAGAGCGTTGACATGGCATCGCCTCCAGAGCCGTCTGTTACAGAAGGACTGCTGCAGCGGGTCTCGAACACATGGCTGAGATACGTGTACCCTGCAGCGCTCCTCGGAGTCGGCATCCTGCGGCGCGAAACCATCGCCGGGGCCTTGTACGTCGGAGCGGCACTGGTGTTCGCATCTTCGGCATGCGGCCAGCGCGCTGGAGAGTGTCGACGATGGCGCGTTGTGAACAACGTCTTTACTGTCACGTTCAGTGTATTTCTTCTAGCAGCTTGCCTCTTGGTCTTCCTCTGTTCTTTCGAGGTATTCGAGCCTTGGCCTGCTTATCTCAGAGTTGTTGGCTTTGGCGGCGTGACAGATGGCACCGACTGCGGCAGTCATTGGCTGATGCTGCCAGAAGCTTTGGCTACAACCGCAAGCGTTGCGAGTTGGTTGTTGTTGCGCCGCGCCCATTCGTGGGAACAGGATGACGAGGCCGTTGTGCAGGTGCGCCCGCTGCTCACAAAGCAAAGTAGCGGCATCCTTGTCGGCATCTTGCTGGTGTTGTGTGCGTCGATGAGCCTGAACTTATTCGGGCTACTGTACAACATGATCGCTGCTGCTGTCCTGGCCTGCCTGGCATCCGCAGCCCCGCGGCAAGGTCTCTCCCCCAATGCCTCGCGCAGGCTGAGATGCGCACTGGGCGCGACCACGGCCGCGCACGTCCTCACGGCGATCTTTCTCGGATTTGGTGGCGACAGCTTCAAGGAGCTGAGATGGGTAACCTCGGCCCTTGCATGTGGGGAAGCTTGCTACCTGTCCACCCTAAACAGGCCGCGAGATGAGGAGCATGACAGGGAATAGGGGGGCTTGGCATGGCCTGGCAGAGAAGGCGAGAGTCAAGAGCTACCCCCTGCGTGGCTCCTCCTTATGTCGCTCTGCTTGCTGCTGCTGCTGCTGCTGCTCCTGCTCGAGGCATATCAGCATACGGTCGGGGCGCTGAAGAAGGAACCCTTTTCGTTGGGGAGGGGCTCGGTGTCCCTCGATTGTTCCACAGCTTGCCTCAGGTGTTCCTTATGCTTTTGTATGGGAAATCGAAGTTTAACTTGTGGATTAAAAGGGGCCTCGTTCCTTATTTGGGGTTCCTAGGATTGCAAAAAAAACCAAGGATTGCAAAGGATTGCAAAAACAAACCCTTTTTTTGCAACCCTTTGTTTTTGCTATCCTTTGTTTTTTTGTTTTGCAATCCTTCGGTCAACGCCCCGACTGCACATCTCGTGCTTCGGAGGCCTGCGCACACGTATGGCTTCGGCGCCGGGCCTGCGCCCCTGGCGCGGGCACGCGCGATGGGGGCGCGCTTTGGAGTGGGGAATGGGGCCCTGAGAGGAGATCTGAAGAAGCTCCTCCTCCTCCTCCTCCTCCTCCTCCTCCTCCTCCTCCTCCTCCTCCTCCTCCTCCACCTCCTCCACCTCCTCCTCATCAGATCTCTTCAGCAGCGAAGCGCGCTGGCCCTGGCGCAGGCAGGGGCCTGTCCCGACACCTCGGGTCCAGGTCACGCTGCCCCGTGCGTTTACCAAAGTCCCCCAGCACTGGCCCCTCGCTACTGCTGCCGTGCACCCCCCCGGGTCCTCTCGCCTGTCCTCGCTTTGCGGCCTCGCTGCCCCTCGCCCTGCTTCCTCCCGCTGCGGAGCTCCACCCTCCCTGCGTGCCCTTCGGCTTTCCCCCCCCGTCTTCTCCATCCGTTCCGTCCTGCCCCTCGCTGGGACTCCGCGCGGGTCCAGGCCCGTGGGGTGGAGACCAGGTGGGGCCGCGGGGAGGGGTCGTCAGAGGACGAGGGGTCCTCCGATCCTGAGGGGCCGCCCTGGCCCTGCCTTGCCGATCCCAGGTCGCTCCACAGCAGCCCGTCGCTCCCCTGCCTGGCCTCCTGCCCTTGCCCTCTCCAGCGCCCTGCGCCCTGTGCTCTCCGTGTCCCCGCTCCGGTAAGGGAACAAAAAAATGGAACCCCTTCGTCTTCGGCCCCGCATTCGCCCCCCCCCCCCCCCTCCCCCCAATTTCAAAGTTGGGGTCGGCCTCTCGGCCCCCAATTTCAAAGTTGGGGTCGGCCTCTCGGAGGCCCTGGGGGGTCTATTTTTTTTGTCCTCTAACGCCTGTGCTGCCAAATGCTTGAGGCCAACTTTGAAATTGGGGGGAGGGGGGCCGTGGTGTCAAGGGTTCCGCTTTTTTGTCCATCTACGGTCCTGCTCCTGCCGGGAAGGCCGCGCGCGCTCGACGCGGCCGGCCGGGGGGGGGGCGAGAGCCGGGCGCGCCCGTGGCCGCGCGCCTCTGCAGCGCTCGGCCCTTCCCGTGGCCTTTTTGCGAGCAGGGCTCCCCGCACGCGCGTGCAGCGCGTGGCCTCCGGAGGTGCCGCCCGTGGATCCCGCCAGGGGTGCACTGCCAGCTTCCCGACGCTGCCTCTGCACTTCCCGCCTGCCTCTGCGCCTGCGGCCCCCTCCTCCTGCCCCTTCGGTCGTCGCCCCTCTCCCGCCGTCTCGCGCGGGTCCCTGTCCGTTCCTCTCCCCGGTGCCACGCCCTCCCCCCTCCCCTCCCCCCCAGACCCCCTCGAGTTATGAAAAAATCACGACGGGAGGTTGTTCGCTATTTTGGGCCTTGGGGGGCCCTTACCGGCCCTCGGGACCGTCAAAAAACGACTCAGGACGAAAAACCGGTCCCGGGGAATGGGTCGAGACCTCGGGGGGTCGACGTCATGAAAAAATCATGACGTCGGGGGTCTGGGCCCGCCCCCTCCTCCTCCCTCCTCCCCCCGATGCATCGTTGCCCCTGGCTCGCCCTTCTCCCCTCCTTCCTCCCGCCTCCCTGCCCTCCTTCCCCCCCTCCTCGGTGCAGCGTTGCCCCTGGCTCGCGGGGTGTGGGCCTCCTCGCATACGGCCCTTCAGGCTGCTGCAATCCCTCACTCCAGTCTCCCCTCTCCCCAGAGGATCGAAGACCTCGTGCTCTGGAGGCCGAGCCCTTGTTGTGGAGGCAGAAGCCTACTCAGAACGGAGGGCGCAGGCCTCCACAACAGAAGTCGAGACTTCACACCCAGGCCTCCGATGTCTTCTCCCATAGGAGCCCCCCCGAGCTCGGGACCACTTCCCACGGACTGGCTGTTCGCTCCGGATCGTGTGTTGACGGCCCCGAGGCTTGGCAAGGGTCCCCAGGCACCGAGAACGTCGAAAAACATCCGTCTTGATTCTTAGGCTTACGCCACACCGCCGACCCCTTGGTGGACTGGCGGTTGCCGTGTGTTGCTCCTGAGGGCCTCTTGGGCTCCTTTTGGGGGGCTTCTTGGAGCTCTTTTGGGGCTTCATGGGGGCCTCTCGGGGACCTTTTGGGGGCCTCTTGGGCTGACGTTCTCACTATTCGCCGTGCACGCATGGGCAAACGGGTGAGAATCCAAGTATACAGACGGCGGGTATCTGCCAAAGCACCCGAAGAATGATAATCGAATGGCCTGTGGCACATCCCAGCATCGCGCCTGGGTTGCGGGTCTGAGGCCACTCGGATGGTTGATGGGATCTGTTGGGAGGCGTCTCGGGGGCGTCTTGGAGGCAGTCTTTGAACCTCTTTGGGGACTGATGGGGGCCTCTTGGGGCTCCGTAGGGGCCTGTTGGAGGATGTTGGGGGCTTCTTGGGGCAACCCGGAGGCGTCTTGGGATCGAAGGCTCGAAATGTCCGTTCGGGTTCCCACTCTGGGCTCCCTCTTGGGGCTGTCCTGGGGCCGTCTTGGGGGCTTCTTGGGCCATCTTGGGGCCCTCTTGGGTCGTCTCGGAGCCCTCTTGGGGGCCTCTTGGCCCGTCTTGGGGCGATCTCGAAGGCCTCTTGGGCCGTCTTGGACGTTGTAAACGCCCAAGAGGCGACTGTGCAAAAAATACGTTTTCCAAGGTGAGTGGGACGATTGTTGCTTCTGGAAGCCCTCTTGAAACGCCTCTCGGGGGCTTCTTGGGGCGTCTTGGGGGCCTCTTTGGGCCGTCTGGAGGCCAGCATGGGCGTTTCGGATCGATGTTTTGGCGACTCGTGGCCCGCTTGGACCCTCCAGGCAGCCTCCTGGGGCCCTCTATAGGCCTATGCTGGGGCCCTCCGTCCCCCAGGGCGCCTTCGGCCCGGCCCCGGGGGATCCCCCCCTCTCCAAGTCGACCAGGCAGGACTCCCTGGGGATGGGTTTTTGGAGGGGGGGAGGCACCTCACACGCCGACGAACCCGAAGGGGTCGGCGGATTGTTTGAATACGTTCTCAGACCCCCGACGTCATGACTTCTTCATGACGTCGACCCCCCGAGGTCTCGACCCATTCCCCGGGACCGGTTTTTCGTCCTGGGTCGTTTTTTGACGGCCCCGAGGGGCGGTGAGGGCCCCCAAAGGCCCAAAGTAGTGAAAAACCTCCCGTTGCGATTTTTTCCTGACTCGAGGGGGTCTGGGTTGGAGGTCTGGGTGTTGGCGGTGGTCGATCCCCCAGGGGGCTCCCCCCGAGGAGTGGCGGCCCTGGCCGGAGCTGCTCGGGGCGCCGGACGACGCGGGAAGCGCCGCCCAGTGCGTCGGCGCGTTCGCGCTCCTGCAGGCGCCTGGGGAGAAGGGGGGGGGGGCAGGGCAACCAGTAGGCGAGGGAGGGGGGACGCGGGGGAAGGGGGGGAGGAAGGCCAGGGGCGGGGGGAGGGAGGAGGGAGGAGGAGGGAGGAGGGGGAGGGGGGGAGGAAGGCCATATGGGAGGAGGGAGGAGGGAGGAAGGAGGGAGGGGGAGGGGGGAGGAAGGCCAGAATTAGGGGGGAGGGAGGAGGGAGGAGGAAGGCCAGGAGGCAGAGGGCCCAGCTGCAGGCCCAGGCGGCAAGCCAGTTCTGGGCGCGTGGCTCCGCCGCGGGCCTGCGCGCCTCCGGCTGCCGCGCTGCCGCGGCGGGGCCGCGCGCCTGCGAGGGCGGCCGGGCACCCGGCGGCGGGCCGCCAGCAGCTGCGCCGCGGCGCCCCGCACGAGCGTGAGGTCGGGCCTGCCCCCCATACAGCGAGATTTCCGACGACAAGTAAGAAATGCCCCGCAAAATGCTCAAAAGATAGTCCAAAAATAGTGCGGGGACATTTTTTGCATATTTTTAACATTTTTGGGGGTATTTTGGGAGGTATTTTTAAACTTTTTCGTCGAACATTCCCCTGTACGGGGACACGCCCGACATACGCACGAGCGTCGCGCCGAGCGGCGCCCGCCCGCGGCGAAGAGCGTGGTGCCCAGACAGCCAGCCCCTCGAGCGACGACAAAAATCACGACGGGAGGCTTTTCCCAATTTTTGGCCTTGGGGGGCCCTTACCGGCCCTCGGGGCCGTCAAAAAACGACTCAGGGCGAAAAACCTGTCCCGGGAAATGGGTCGGGACCTCGGGGGGTCGACGTCATGAAAACATCATGACGTCGGGGGTCTGGGTGCCCGACAGCCAGCCCGTCTGGTTCAAGCAGTGGCGAGGCGTCCTGGCGTGCCTATATAGCCCTACCAAACCATGTTCTGAGAACATTGTGTGGTTTCCACGAGGTGTTCTTCGAACACTTCTGGCGGGGACTGTCTTGTTTTATCACATCGGGCTTAAAAGGTTCTAAGAACACTGTTTTTGTTCTTACAACATTTTCTGGGTTCTGAGAACATGTCGTGGCAGGACTAGAACTGCCGGGACGGTCGGTCCCTGCTCAACTGGTGGGCGCGCCCGGCACGCGCCGCCGCGCAGTGCTCCAGGAGGGCCTCGCCGCGCGCGCGCCCCGGGGCGGCCGAGAGGCCCGTGCGTGGCAGGCCAGACCACCCGGCCGCCAGCAGGCGGGCAGCGGCTGTCTTTCGCGCCCTCGGCCGCGCGCGCCGCGCTCCTCGGCTCCCGCGCAGCCCCCGGCTGGTAATTTGGCGACAGGCATGGGATGCCAGGCCGTGACGTCGATTGGAGGGGTGGGGGAGATCAGGTAGGAGGATAGGGAGGAGGAGGCGGAGGAGGAGGAGGAGGAGGAGGAGGAGGACAACAAGGAAAGAGGAGGAGAGGAGGAGGCGGAGCAGGAGGAGGAGCAGAGGCGGAGGCGGAGGAGGGCGGAGGAGGAGGAGAGGAGGAGGAGGAGGAGGGCGGAGGGAGGAGGAGGAGGAGGAGGAGGAGGAGGATCAGGAGGAGGATCAGGAGGAGGAGGAGGAGGAGGAGGAGGAGGACGAGGACGAGGAGGAGGAGGAGGAGGGGCGATGAACATGCGCTCCCGCCTGGACTTTCCGGCGGCAGCGGTGGCGCAGCACCAGCTGGCCGCAGAGGGGGAGAGTAAGGAGGAGAACGAGGTCCAGGAGGACCAGGAGTGAGAGGACAGCGGCGGCGCGCCCCCAGAGAGTGGGCGGTGGACCTGCAGCCAGGGCCTAAGCGCTCGGCAGCGTGTACGACGTGCGCTGTCCCATTCGTGTCACGGGGGATGCGCCTATGCTCCTGGGGCAGCAGGCAACGGTATAGCTGGATGTGCACCGGGTGCATGTCTGGCCAAAGCGGAGCAGAGGACGAGATATGCCCTGTCGGGCGCGCGGAGGCCGTGCACGCCCAGGAGGTGCGGACCGCATTGGCCACCAGCCAGCCGCAACGCTGACGGGGGACATCCCAGCCACGAGGCCCAGGAACAGAGCGACCCTGGCCAAGGCGGGATAATTACCCGTCAGGCACCCGCCCTGGGAAGAACAGATGCTGCCCGGGCGCTCCTGGTGGCAGAGTTTGCCTTGGCAGTCCGCGCTCAGGGCAGGAGTGTCCGCTTCCGCGCAGGTGCCCGACGGGTTCCGCGGGGCAGTGGGTCATGCCCGCCACAAGGCTTTGGAAGTGCTGGAGGAAGCGTGTCGCCAGGGAAGGGCGTCTGCAGAATGGAAGCTGCTCCTCCTGTTTGACATGATGCCCCTCGCCCGGCCGGGCGGCAGCGGCCCGACGTGCGCCGAAGTTTTGGAGGAGCGGCTTGCCCTGTGGTGGGGCGGCCCACATGCGCCTCTGTGGCCCTCTGTCCACATGGGGCAGCCCTGCGCCCAGGGCGCCAGCGCGACGCGCCACGGCTAAGGAGAGAAGGAGGCGCGTGCACACGCTGGCCGCTGCCGGCGAGGAGAGCCGCGCCTTGGCCGCCGCTGTCGGGGTTGAGGTGGCACCGCGCACAGGCGCGACGCTGACTGGACCAGCTGCGCGCGAGCTTCCCGCCAGACGAGCACGCCCCGGCAGCGGAGCAACCGCCGCCGCCGCCGCAACGCCTGCCGCGCGCGCCGCCCAGCGCGGAACTCTGGGAGCAGGTGGAGGACGAGGTGCTCAAGCTGCGGCGGCGCCCCCCTGGCTGACAGCGCCGGGCCGACTTGGGACGCGGCTGGAGCACCTTGCCGCCGGCGCCGACAGCGGAGAGATTCGGCGCCTGCTCTCCTGGGTGGCCGCGCGGGTCGCTTTCAGCGAGCTCCCGCCGGACGTCCTCCGGGCGCTCCGGTCGGGAGGGCTCGTGGCGCTCGACAAGGGGGGCGGGAGGTTCGATCTCTCTTGGCGTGCGCGACTCTCCGCCGCCTCGGACTGCGGGCGCAGGCCAGGGCGCAGGAGACGCAGTTGGCCGAAGCAGCGGGCGGGCATCAGTACGGGGTTGGGCGGAAGGGCGGGGAGACCCTGCTGGTTAAACGCCTGTAAGCCTTGGCGGAGACACGGCCAGACGACACGTTTATCAAGGTAGACGTGAAGGCGGCGTTTCAGCGGATGCGGCGGGGCCCCGCTTCCCAGGCGATGGCGGCGGCGGCCCCCGCGGGGTGGCCGAAACGATGCAGGCGTGGCACGCGGAGCCGGCCAGGCATTACTGGCGCGGGGCCAACGGGCAGTGCGGAACTATCTGGAGCCGCCGCGGGTTCGGCCAGGGGGACCCGCTCTCCACCGCTGGCTTCGCCGTCGGCCAGCGGCAGGCCTTGGAGCAGCTCTTTGGCGAGCTGCAGCAGCGGGAAGCCGACGCTCGGCTCTTCTCTTACCGGAACGACGCCTGTCTAGTGGTGAGAGCGGATCTCGGGCTGCTGACGCTGAGCGGCTTAAACGCGGTGCTCGCGCCGCTTGGACTCGAACTCAGCGCTCGGAAAACGCTGGCCTGGTCCCCGGCCGGGGCGCAGGCCGTCCAGCCCGAGCTGGCGGGCCATTGTGCCCGTGCTGCCAGCGCTCGGCGCGAAGCTCCAGGCGCCAGGAGACGCCGACGACGCGGCGCTCCTCCTCGGCGGGCAGGGCTGCGGACTCGACAACGCGACGACGCGCCTGCAGCAGCTCTGGGCTCGCCTCTAGGAGCTCCGGGAGAGCCTCTCCAAGCAGGCGAGGGGGGCGCTCCTGACGATCTTCGCGGGCAACGCCAGCCAACGCTACCTCCAGCTCGCGCTGGCGACGCCGGACGAGGCCTCCCGCCACCACACGGCGCTGAGAGCCTGCTGGGGGCAGCTGGCGGACCGCCCGCTGGGGCCAGAGGCCTGCCAGCTGCTGGGGCTGCCGCGCAGGCTCGGAGGCGAGGGGGCCCAGTGGGCGACCACGAGGCGCGCCGCGGCTTTCTGGGCCGCCTGGGCGCACGCCGCCGATGAGGTGCGCCGCGACTTGGGCGCCGCTTCGCTCGCGGACGCGCTGGGCGCTCTCCCCTGGAGCGCAGCGGCGCTGGCAGAGGCGCGCGCAGAGCTGGCGCGCCAGAGCGCAGAGCCCTCCCCGCAGTCCCGCTCGCCGCGGCGTTTGGCTGGCCGACGAGGCATAAGACGATGGCTGCGACCGTGCACTAGACAACTCTGGCTGCCGCCCGGCAGCGAGTGCACCTGCGCAATCAAGCTGTCCTTCAGTCCGCCAGCGGGCCAGGGTCTGGGGCGTACCTGCAGTGCCCCGCGGAGGCAGCTTGCGCTCTTGAAGACGTGGAGTGGGCCACTGGGACCCGCTGCCGCCTCCTGCTTCCGCGGCCAGAATGCTATCGTGACGAGCTCGCGCGGGCGTCTGCGACCTGCTGCAACCAAAGGGCGCCGGGGCTCGCTGCCGGGCGCCCCTTGGCGAGGACGGATGCCGCGCAGCCGCCTGCCAGCCCGGGGGATGCGTCGTCCGGCGCCACGGCGGGTTGGCCAAGGCGGCGGGCAGCTTGGCGGCGCGGTGGGCGCACGACCGCCCGCTGCACGAACAGCGCGTGTCCACCTGGGGCCGCTTTCGGCCCTGGCGCCAGGCCGAGGGTGCCGGCCGGCCCCCCCCCCGTCTTTAAGCGAGCCGTATTGGATGTCCAGTACGAGGACCTGGACGGCAGGCGATGGGTGGACGTCACCGTGCGCCACCCCGCGGCTGGGGACGAGCCCGCCGTTCGCGTCGCCGCCCCGAGGCCAGGCGAGGCCTCGCGCCGAGCAGAACGCGAGAAGCACGAGCGCTATCCCGGCGAACGGCTAGCTGCCTTCGCCGTGGAGACCGCGCGGCGGCTCGGCGCGGGGGCGCGCCAGCGGCTGGTCGGCCATGTGCGCGAGCTGCCAGAGGAGGAACAGCACGCCGAGATGTCCCGTGCCTACAGCGCGGACAGCTGCGCTGCCCAGCGCCACCTGGCGCGACTGCTGCGCCAGGCGGCGGGCCTGCGCTGAGGAGGAGGAGGAGGGGGAGGAGGAGGAGGAGGAGGAGGAGGAGGAGGAGGAGGAGGAGGAGGAGGAGGAGGAGGAGGGAGGACCTAGGCCTCCTAGATGGGGTCGGAGTAGATGGGTTCGCAGGATCGCGCCGCATCGCCGATGCATCGCCGATGCGGCTCGATGTGCAGCCTGTTTTGCGTCACGTCGAAGTTGCCGATGCATCGCCAACGTCGACGACGCATCGCCAGTGCATCGCCGATGCATCGCCGATACATCGCCGATGCATCGCCGATGTATCGCCGATGCGGCGCGATCCTCCGACCCCATCTACTCCTCCCTCATCTAGGAGGCCTCTAGAGGAGGAGGAGAGGAGGGAGGAGGAGGAGGAGGGAGGAGGAGGGAGAGGAGGAGGAGGAGGAGGAGGAGGAGGAGGAGGAGGAGGAGGAGGAGAGGAGGAGGAGGAGGAGGAGGAGGAGGAGGATGTGGCGGGCGAGGAGGAGGGGGGCGACGACGACGGCGCCGAGGAGGAGGAGGAGGAGGAGGGCGAGGAGGAGGTGAGGGAGCAGATCGTAGGCGGCAAACCGCGGCGGAGGCCCGCCCTGGAGTGGGGAGCAGCGCACCAAAAGTCATTCTTACCCAGGGTCACTCTTGCGTGTAGCCGAGTGCTGAGAAAGAACATTCACGCTTCGCGTGGCACATCGTCATGCGCGTTCGCGCCTTCCCCGCCGTGAGCCCGTCCGGGTGGGCCCCGTGGGGCCTGCGCGTGGGCGCGGTCGGGCCCGAAATGTCCTGGCCTTTTCTGGCGTGCCCGTTGGTGCTCAGCGCGATAGTGACCGCACAGTCGCGTGTTTTTCTCTCTGTCTGTTTCTCTCTCTCTCTCTCTCCTTTTCTCCTCTCCCCTCTCTCTCTCTCACTCTTTCTATTTTCTCCCATCCCACATACCCACACAAATCCAATAGCAATTTCGCAGCCTTCACAAGTGGAACCGGAAAGCTTACGACGCTAAACTCGTCGGCGAACATGCGTCTCGAATTTATGTCTTCCGTCTGACTTCGTGGAAGCCTGCGCCATACATATTCCAAAGTCAAGGGTCGAACACGGTGCCTTGGCGAACCATCCCAGATGTTTGAAAGCTTCCACTGTCGAAGGCGAGCTCCATTTTGAATCAGGGTTTCAGGATGGACGTCGAGCCTTCATTATGGATCTCTTTGAACGGTTGATTGGAGGAGGAGGAGGAGAAGAAGGAGGAGGCAGGGGGAGAAATGAGGAGGTTGACAAATGATGGAGAGAGACGGGAATGATGATGATGATGATGATGATGATGATGATGATGATGATGATGATGATGATGATGATGATGATGATGATGATGATGATGATGATGATGCTGGTCTGATGCTGACACTGGTACTGATGGTTATGATGGTGATGATGATGCTGATGATGATGATGATGATCATCATCATGATGACCATGCCGACAATGCTGCTGATGATGCCGATGGTGATGTTGACGATGATGTTGATGCTGATGATGCTGATGATGATGATGATGATGATGATGTTGATGCTGCTGCTGATGATGATGAAGAGGAGGAAGAGGAGGAGGAGGAGGAGGAGGAGGAGGACTGAGCAAGCTACCAAGTCTACGAGGATGAGGAGTGGGAGGAAGAAAAAGAGGATGAGTAGGACGGAGGAAGAAAAACAGCCACCCCTCCTTCGCACTTGCCTCGGTACCGCCTCAAGGCAGTGCTGTGAGTTTGAATGCTTGGTTGTTTGGGGGTTGGAGGGTGGAGTTGTATCTGCTCTCGGCAGCAGAGCCTGATGAGCACGTGCGGTCGTCCAGAGTGCTGCCCGAGTTGGCGAAAAACCTGTGCTCTGCTCGAGTGTTGCGCTCTCCCCAGACGCCCGATGTTCTGTGTTTGCCGATGCGCGGTCCCCAGAAGCCCAGACCCTTTCCTTGGGGCCGGCTTGTCCTCCCAGGCCGTTTTTGACACGGTCCAGGGGCCCGGCGAGGGCCCCCAGAGGCCGTAAATTTCAGATAACACCCGCGTTGGCGATTTTGCCCATGCGCTGGAGGCCTCGGCCTTGGGCATCCCCTGGCCTCTCGCGGCCGCCCCCCCTCTCCTCGGAGGTGCTCCTCTGGTGCGCCGACCCGCCAGCCCCGCGCGAGAGGGAGGAGGTGCAGCTGCCGGCCGCCCCGGGGGGGGGGCAATGCAAGGGCAACGAAGGGGGGGTGGGAGGGGGGGGGGCATACAGTCGGAGCACTGAGGAAGGAACCCTTTTCGTTGGGGAGGGGCTCTGTGTTCCTTGATTGTTTCGCAGCTTGCCTTAGGTTTTCCTTAGGCTTTCGATGGGGAATCGAACTTTCACTGATGGGAGAAAGGGGCCTCGTTCCTCATTTAGGGTTCCTTAGGTCAACGCCCCCACTGTAGGCTCAGGGGTGGGCGCATCGACCCCCCAATTACATACCCATGGATCGCCGATAGGGGGCCTGGTAGTCCACCTCCCGTGGAGCCGTGCGGTGGCGCTTCTCTGGGGCCGATCGCCGATGCGTCGGCGATGCATCGTGGATTCCAGCTGGACGTTTCTCCCCCTGGGCTGCCCCCCCCCCCCCCGACATTGTCAACCAGCGCTGCCAGCGCACAGTTCTGCCCCTCTCGGGGCAGTGGCGAAGGCCACGGAGTGGCGAGGCGTCCCTGGACCTCTGGCGTGTGGATCAAACAAGAGGGCTTTGCCGTTTTCGGCGCAAGGGGGCCTTCCCCAGGACCGTTCCAGGACGAGAAACCAGTCCCAGGGAAGTGGTCCACAGCTCCGGGGACCCCGTATTGAAATGAACACGGCATCGGAGGTCATTGGTTTTGGTCTGCCTGTGACATCAGGGACTTTGGCTTAGCGTGTCGCGCCGCCGCTTCTGGCCCACCGCGCTCTGGCGCGACACGCTGACCGCTTCGCAGTCCCAAAGCGTCAACGTCCCGAGCATTTCTCAGCCTCCCGCCCCGCGGAGCGGAGCGGCACGCTATCAGCTCATATGGCGTAGCGTGTCTCCAGGGCCGCAATCCACGCAACGCTAAGCAAAAGTCCCCGACCGTAGCCGATCAAAAATGCTCTACGAACCTGTTGTGGTGTGTGCATGATGTTCAACGGACATGTCTGGCTGAGGCGGCATTCGTTGATCTAAGATATCGGCTTCACATTCTGAGGACATTGTGTTGCTATAAACCGTCCTTGCCCCCTAAAGCCACAGTGTGGCAGGCTTGTAGGAAGAGTGGGACGGTCGGTTAGGGGGGGTTGGGAAGGGTGCGAAATCTGTTGCATGCAGTTGGTTCTGGCCCCACCGCCCAGCGCCTTCCTCGATGCACTGGCACCTCTGGCGCCGGGAAGGCGCTGGCAAAACCAGCCGCGCGCGGCTGATGTGATGACCCCCCTTCTATTATCTCCCTCTCGTCCGCCCCGACTCATGCCCATCCCCCCGCCCCCAGAGGACCCAAACCCTCCATTTCGAATGTCGAAATTCAATGTTGGGGGGAAAAGGCGTCCAGACTCCTAGAGTAGAGGAAAATCGCTTCCAGCATAGAGGCCGAGCCTCCTTTTCGGAGGCCTTCGACCCTCTTGGCAGGCATCACTCCCAACCTTTTCGAGGGGGAGGCGGAGAATCGAGGATCGAGGAGGGGCAGCGAGGATCGATGCTCTGAACCGCTTTCAGCTTGTCTTTGGCCTCCAGAGGCCCCCGGAGACCCTCGAAGAACTTTGGGGACCTCGTGAGACCTCTGGAGGCACTCTGATCCTGGAGCCCTGGCGACCCGCAGAAGTCGCGCTGGGAGTTTTTCACATTTCTCGAGATCGCAAGGTTGTCTTTCAGGCCCCGTGGCCGTCAGCAAAAAGGACTTCAGGATTACACGCCAGAGGGATCCAGAAGTAGGAGGAGCAGGAGCTGGAGGAGGAGGAGAAGGAACAGTGTAAACCCAATATGCATCAACGATGTTGCAATCAACCCTCGCTCCAAGTTTCCTCTTCACAGGTCTCTACACGATTTGCTTCATTGCGGGAAGTGCCCCATTCGAAGACAACCGTTTGAGAATCCTCAATCGTGCCAAAGCATCCGTTCTGGGACTTCAACACCGCGAATCAGCGTCACTGTTGCGTCCTGACAGTACTAAATCGAAATCGCGCCAGAACTCCATTCCTGGAATTTGAACCTGGCGAATCAACGTGACTTTTGCGTCCCCAGAGCCCTAAACCGTGCCAGAACACCATTCCTGGGACTTCAACCATGCGAATCCTTCAAATGGTGGGAAACTGTTAAGACGAATGTGCGCGGCGCCACTGCGAGAGCCACATTTTGAAAAGTAACCGCCCTCCATCCTTGAAGCCGCTTCAAAATTCCAAAGCGAGTGTGCGCGGCGCTCAGGCGATAACCACATGTTGAGAACGGTACGCCCTCCATCCTTGAGCGGTTGCAGAAATTTCAGACGAATGTGTGTGGCGCTCAGGCGATAACCACATGTTGAAAACGGGCCGCCCTCCACCTTAAAAGTAGTTGCATGTTTGTCAGACGAATGTGCGCGGCGATAAGGCGAGAGCCACATTTTTAACACGGCCTGCCCTCCAGCCTTGAACGTGTTGCAGATCCCAAGCTTCCGGATCATACATGGCGGGGACGTCTCAGGCGAAACGCCCTGCCCGCTCTACCGACATCTCTGGTGTTGCGACAGGAGCAACGATGGGGAGGAGTATGAGGAGGAGCAGGAGTCGGAGACAGAGACGGAGAACTGAGGAGGAGGACGAGGAGGAGTAGGAGGTGGGCGTGGAGGAGGAGGTGGAGGAGGAGGAGGAGGAGGAGCTTTTGCCCTTGTGCCCTTGTCCTTGCCAGGCGCGAGCGCCGCAGACGGTACATCGAGACACCGAGCAAGAGCAGGAGAAGCGGGACGAGGAGGAGGAGGAGGAGGAGGAGGAGGAGGAGGAGGAGAAAGAGCAGCAGCAGCAGCAGCAGCAGCAGCAGCAGCAGTATGAGGAGGAGTTGGAGGAGGAGAGATGGGAGAGGAAAAGGGGGGGCAGCAGGAGGAGGAAGAGGAGGAAGAGGAGGAGGAGGGCAAGGAGGAGGAGGAGGAGGAGGGCAAGGAGGAGAAGGAACAGATGAGGAACAGATGAGGAGCAGGTGGGGCAGGGGGGCAGCAAGGAGGAGAAAGCGGAGAAAGGGGAAACAGGGGGACGGATTGGAGGAAGAAACGAGTGCGATGATGAGGAGGACTGGAAGGAGGAGGAGGAGGAGGAGGAAAAGGAAGATGAGGAGGATGAGGAGTAGGAGAAGGAGGAGGAGGAGGAGGAGGAAAACGGACATACTGGAGGAGAGGGAGGAGGAAGGACGAGGGGAGAAAGGAGGAGGGGGGGGAGGGCGGATGAGGAGGAAGGAGGAGAAGTAGCGAAATTCATCCAACACCTTGAAGGGAGGCACAGAGGCGGAGGGCGAGGAGGCCGAGAGGAGGAAAGAGGAGGAGGCGGAGGAGGAGGAGGTAGGATGAGAGCCGCTAGGAGGTAGGAGACCTCCTCCTTCTCCTTTCCCGTACCTCCTCCGACCTTCTCCACACTCCTCTCCTCCTCCCCCATACCTTCTCCTATCTCCTCCTCGGCCTCTTACATCCTCCTCCTCCTCCGAAAAGGAGGCATTCGGTAAGTTCCACATGCAACACCAGGCGCAGTAATACACCCCAGCGCATGCAAAACACCATACGTCCAACAACATCCAAGAGTTCAAGCGTGAACACATGAATTTCTTTACTTCGGTTGACAGCTGATGGATTTTTCTTTTTTTATCGCGAAGCTTTTGCTGTTTTTTTTCATCGCGAAGCACAACACATAACGCAGCATCGGCTTGCGGAACAAAAACATGCAACAACAACATCAAACGACACCACAACCACAAACAAGACGCCCCAAAACATGAGCCACCTCACAAGACAACCAACGACACAAGAAGGCATCACAAATCATGCACAACAACAAACGACAACGACATCTTACACTTCGCAACAACACACAAACAGTGGCTCTGGAAGCCCCTCTCGGAAGTCCTCGGAAGTGCCCTCGGAACTGGTGTGGGCATTTTGCCGCAAGCTGGTGGCTGGTGGATTTGAAGAGTTTGTTGTATGTTGTATGTTTGTTGCTTATGTTTTCGAGAATGCGAAGGCCTTGCGGCCGGTGCCGCCGACCCTGAAGGTTGACGACGACGACGACGACGACGACGACGACGACGACGGGTGGAGGGCGCGGGAAGTATGGAAACGTTTCTGAAGACTTCCCTGGGGCATCGCTGCACGGGCGCGCGCGGCCAAGCTCCGCCGCAAACGCGGTTTCAGAAAATGTTAATGGAGATGTTCGCATCGATCAGAAAAAATTGTGTTCGATAGGTGACGAGAGCTTAGCAGAGCTATCAGCAGAGTTCAGTTTATAGAATAAGATGAGGTGGTATTGAGTGAGACGTGGCGTGTAGACTCTCACGAATATTTCGCGTCACAAGATGGTTGTCTTTTCAATGGGGCCCGCTACAGTAAGCATTAACGTAGAGTGGGCGTGCTCTTGCGCGAGCGATGGGCCAATTGTGCGTTGGGCTGCGCAGTGGGGAACGAAAGGCTTTCGCATGTGGATCTGACATGGGTGGATTCAGGGCTCGAGTCATTTTCGCGTTTCTCTTTCGCTCGCACTATCCAGATATGCATGTGCAGGCGATGTCCACGGCGATCTCCAAGTTACGCCGGGAAGCACGGTTAAAGCATTTTTCGTTTATATTCAGAGTTGATTTCAAAGCGCAGGCAGGGAGCAGACTCGAGACGGACGGCCCGAACGCAATCGGCACTTGCGGCCCGAGCAGCGAGAACTCCCGCGGTCAGCAGATGAAGCAGCGTGCAGCTTTGGAACCCTTTGCCATCTGCAACGCGTTCTTTGCCAAGCCTCCGGAGAAAAAATACGCGCGCGCCACTGCGAAGGGCCGTAGCAGACATATCGATTTTTTGTTTCCAGGAAATTCGTGAAGCGCGTGGAGGATAGTACTTATTCCAATTATGTTGGTCGTGGGTCTGACCATGCTGCTATCAAAACGGTCGCTCGCAAAAACGTGCCTTAGAAGAAATCCTGGGACCGAGATGCTGCCGGAGACGCCGCTGCGAGAGTCTCGTGGAATACCGCGTCAAGCGGTGCTTATTGCAACATCGTTGCTGAAGAGATGCGAGACACGACGCTCGAGGAGGAAACTCAGGAACGGGCAAACCATGCAGAAACGATTTTGAGGCGAGCGGCCAAACGGAGTTCGAACATCGCCGATCGGCATCGACATCGGAATTCTGAATATATGTCGTTGCAGAGACGTCCAGAGGGGAGTGATCGAGATTCGCAAAACCATGCCCATGCATGGCTCGGCACAGCGACCGCAGCCAAGCAGCCGCATCTGGAAAGCTGTCAGAGCGATGAGAAGGGCCGGAGCGAGCAGACGCGTCAGCACTACCGTGGACAAGTTCGCGGGAGCGAAGCACGCGCAGAAGATTTAGCCTCATGTGGCACGCCGAATGGCACCGTGCATGATTGACGGAGACAGCATTCTCACGACTCGAATTGGTATGGCCAACGTTTTAACATATTTGTTATGAAGATCTCGATGGCTCCAAGGTTGTAGTGGAAGGGTACCCTCTTTTGGCAGACGCGGAGCGTGCTGGCTCTGTGCCGCCGGATTCTTCTGCAGAGGAAGTCAAAGCAGCATTGAAGCTGCTGACGAATAACCGCCGCGCTGATAACAGCCAAGGTATCATCGGGGAGATGCTCGCGAATGGCGGAGAAGTATTGTCGAATGCGTTGACGCGCTTGTACAAGTATTTGCTCCAGCCAGATGCGCTGCCGCGAACTACGTGGAAGCAGGCGCTGATCAAGGTCGCGCATAAGTCTGGCGACGAACGCTCGGCTGTACTTTTCCGGCCGACTGCAAACATCCCAATTCTATATAAGGTGTTGTTTCTGGAATTGGATGTAACTTGCAACTCGCACTTGCGACCCGGCAGGCTTCGGGGGCGCATTTGGAACAGAGGACTAGTTATTTACATTTGAGGTGATTCAAGAGTTGATGGCGCGCTGCCCTGGATTTCCAGAAAACCTCTGAATCGGCTGAACACCAAGAACTATCGAGCGTGCTAGTCAGGCAGGTCGCGCCGATCACGCAAGCGCGGTTGCTCATGAAACTGCATTCTGGCAGCAGGGACAGGCAAGAGCAAATGCATCGAGCAGGTGGTTTAGTATTACGCGAGGAACGAAGCAGGGCGACCCCCTCTGCTCGTTGATTTTCAACGCTCTCTCTGAGGATCTCATGTGGCTGGTGAAGGGGCATGGATAAATCGGAAACATGGGCTTCAGCTTGGGTGCACGAGCCTCTCCCTACTCGTGTGGTTGCATGGTCAAAGCTCGCAGCAAATGCCCTGGGTGCTCTCCAGCGCGCGCGAGGTCGAGGGCGCCGCCGGCCTGAAGCTCCACCCAGACAGAACGAAAACCATCACAAATTCGACGAAGGAAAGCGGAAGAGGCAGGCGTGCGCATCTGACCATTAATGGCGTTATGGTTGTGATTTTACTCGCGCGGGCGCCCGCGAAGCATTTTGGGGCGCACGATTGGATCCGACGGTGCAGACGTCGCAGAAATAGATCGCAGCGTCCGTAGGGCTGGAAGGTTTGCGTGGCCAACGGAATGGAATTGACGAACACTCATTGGAATCTATTGAAATCTCGTTTGCGCTTGCTCGAGGCCGTCGTGGCCCCCTCGGTTGTGTACGGGGCCTTCAGTTGGATTTTGACATCCGAGCCCATGCTACGTATGCTGTTGGTTCTGGGCGACGCCGTGCGTTTTCTGAAGAACCAGAGCGACGAGCCAACCCCGCAGGAGAAGACAGCAGCGCAGAAGACGAACATCCTCATGATGATTCATCTTCTGATGCCGGTCTAGAGCCCTGGATCGACTGGATAAGCGGGCCAGTCATCACATCGAGGATCGCGTGGACAGGCTGTGCGTCGAGTGTTGGTGGGCCACCCTGCCGCGCAGAATCTGGGCGCACGCGGCAAGAGTGGCCAATGTGCTTTCGGACACACTTGGGGAGTGAAGGCCGCCGCCTGGCAGCCCCAACACGACGCCCGCGCCAAAGGCAGCCCGCCCGGAAGACCTTGGAAACGATGGGGGGACGAATTCGTCAGCTTCTTACGGGTGGAAGGGCATCATGTACAAGGTGGGAGTTGGATGAGCTGGATTGTCTACGCTGGCACTTGCCCGCTCGGGAAGTCCCTCGAAGACGAGTTTGCGAAGCAGAACATCCGGGGCGCTTCGGTGCCAACCACCCGCGCCCCGCGTGGGGCTGGGCTGTGCCCGCTCGTGGGTGTTTGCCTGCTTGCCTGCCATCCGGCTCCGCATCCTCCTCCTCTTCCTTCAATTGTGCTGAGCGCTAGGCGATCGACGTGTCCTTGAGATTGGGAGCAATTCGAAATTCATGTAGGGGGCGCTTGAGTTGTTGGAGGAAATTGACAAAGGAGGCGGAGGAAGCAGGCGGAGGAAGGCAGGAAGAGGGGGAGGAACAGGTGGAGTAAGAAGAGCAGGAGCAAGAGCACGAGCAGGAGGAAGAGGAGGAACGAGGAGGTGGAGGGTGGAGGAAGTAGCGGGAGGGAGGGAGGCAAGAGGATGAGAAGAACACGGTGGACCAGGAGGAGGAGGAGGAGGAGGACGAAGACTGATGCAAACCTAAGACTCATCCACGATGTTGGCCTCCCTCCAAGCTCCCTTGTCGTAGGCCCCGGGGTCAACCGTATGAGCCGTCAGAAGCGTGCCAGAACATCCTTTTCAGGACTTCAATGCCACGGGTCAACTTGACTGCTGCGACTTGACGCTTCTGAATCGTGCCAAAACGCCATTCGTGGGACCTCAACGCCGCGAATCCACGTGATTGTTGCGCCCTGACAATCCTGAAGCTTTCCAAAACACCATGTTTGGTACGTTAGCCATAGGAAGCAATGACACAAATGTTCAAATGTGCGCGGCGTTGGAGTGAGAACCACATTTTTGAAAAATCACCGCCGTCAATCCGTGAATCTCCTGGATATGTTCGAAACGAATGCGCGCGGCGCTGATGCGAGAGCCAAACCACATGTGTTGAAAGATCCGCCTTCAATCCGTGAGCCTCTTGCAAATGTTTAAGAAGAATGTGCGCGGCGTAATGCGAGAACCACATTTTGAAAACGACCCGCCCTCGATCCGGGAAGCTCTTGCACATGTTTGAAACGAATGTGCGCCGTCGTAAGGCGAAAGCCATGTTTTGGAAGCGACCCGCCCTCCATCTGTGAGGCTGGTGCCATTTTTTAGCTTGAGGCTCACAGATGGTATGGAAGTCTCAGGTAGAGCGCCCGGCCCGCCCTTCCGACTGGCCTCGGGGTGCGACTGGGGGAAGTTTTTCATAAGTAACAGGAACGTATGAGGAGGAGAGGGAGGAGGAGGAGGAGGAGGAGGAGGAGGAGGAGGAGGAGGAGGAGAGGAGGGAGGAGGAGGAGGAGGAGAGGAGGAGGAGGAGGAGGAGGAGGAGGAGGGAGAGGAGGAGGAGGGAGGAGGAGGAGGAGGAGGAGGAGGAGGAGGAGGAGGAGGAGGAGGAAGGAGGAGGAGGAGGAGGAGGAGGGTGGAAGCGGAGGAGAGAGGGGGCAGGGTGTGCAGCTTGCCTCCTCCCTCAGGCCTCGCCCCCCACGGTCGTGGCGCCCGCGGGCCCGCCGCTCGGGCAGGGCGGCGTCACCGCCGCCGGGACTCCGCTGCTTCCGCAGGACGCCGGGCCCTACCGTTGAGTCGGGCCTGTCCCCCTACAGGGGGATTTTCGACGACAAATAGAAAAATACTTCAAAAATACCCCAAAAAGGTCAAACAATATTCAAACATAGTCTCCTCCTCCTCCTCCTCCTCCTCCCATAGGGGGATCCACCAAAGGCCCCAGTGGCAGGCCCCGCATGCCGCCACCTTGCCATCTCGGCACACCCCTCACACGCCTGGTAGCCCCGTAGGGAGCTCCGTCGAAGGCCCCAGTGACAGGGCCCGCGTGCCGCCACCTCGCAATTTCGGCACACCCATCACACGTTCCGTGGTCCCGTAGGGAGCTCCACCGAAGGCCCCAGTGCCAGGGCCCGCATGCCGCCACCTTGCCATCTCGGCACACCTCTCACATTTTTCGTAACTTCAAGGGGCTCCACCGAAGGCCCCAGTGGCGAGGCCCGCATACCGCCATCTCGCCAAGTCGGCACACCCCTCATACGCTTCGTGGCCCGACAGGGAGCTCCACCGAAGACCCCAGTGCCAGGGCACGCATGCCGTCACCTCGCCATTTCGGCACACTCCTCACACGTTTCGTGGTTTCATAGGGGGATCCACCGAAGGCCCCAGTGGCAAGGCCCGCATGTCGCCACCTTGCCATCTCGGCACCCGTCACACGCTTCGCGGCTCCACAGGGAGCTCCACCGAAGGCCCCAGTGCCAGGGCACGCATGTCGTCACCTCGCCATTTCGGCACACTCCTCACACGCTTCGTGGCTCCATAGGGAGCTCCACCGAAGGCCCCAGTGGCAGGTCCCGCATGCAGCCACCTCGCAAATGCGGCACACCCCTCACACGTTTCGTGGCCTCATAGGGAGCTCCACCGAAGGCCCCCGTGGCTGCGGTCGCATGCGGTTCCACCCCCCCCATTTCGGCGAACCCCTCACGCGTTCCGTGGCCCCACAGGGTGCTCCACCAGAGGCCCCAGTGGCAGCGCCCGCATGCGGTTTAATCCCACATTTTGGCGCACCCTTCGCACGTTTCGTGGCCTGAGGCGTCACCACCGAAGGCCGCAGCGGCAGGGTCCGCATGTCAGTGACGCCCCATTTCTGCACACCCCTCGCACGTTTCGTGGCCCCATGGGGAGCTCCACCGAACGCCCCTGTGGAAAAGGCAGCCTGCCGACGGACCACTTTGGCACACCCCTCAAACGCTTCGTGGCCGCATAGGAAGATCCACCGAAGATGGTACTCACAACTGTGGTACGTGTCACTGCTTATGGTTGGGTCCTTCGCCAGGCTAACTTTTTGGGGCTGGGTGAGAGGCCCAGAGGATCGAGAACCTTCCAAAAGCGGAGTTTCGACCTTCATTGTGGACGCAGTGTGAACCTCCACTATGGATATTTCCGCGTCCTCCAGAACGGAGGTGTTAGGTCCATCGAAGGCCGACCTCCAGCATGGAGGTTTTGGGTCTACGATCTTCTGGGGACGCCAGTGGGTGCCCCCGCGGCCCAACGACACGCCCCGCCCAGGGAGGCTTCTTCGGGGAGGCTCCCAGGAGGCCCGCCGGGTCCCCCGACGCGTCGTGGGGCAGCTTGGCGGAGGGAAGACCTCGAGAGAGAGAATCCCAGACATCCGGCGCCTCGACTTCATCGATGCGGGGACACCCAGACTTGTCAACCCACGCTCCCAGGCCGCCTTCTCTCTAGTCCTCGTTTGACCGCCCCAAGGCCTGAAGCCAGCCTCCAGAGGCCAAAGACTGCGACAAGCTCAAACAGGCCGCTCCGATGCCGCCGAGGCGCCAGGGTGTCTTCGGGAGGTAGCGCGCCATCGCACGCCCAGGGCCGCCTGCGATCCGATTGGATGCGATTCGATTCGCGGACCTGGCCCGCGGTTCCGATTCGATTCGAGATGGGTCGATTCACCAGCACCGGGCGGGGCCAGCCAGAGCCAGCCTGGGCGATCCGATTTCGGTTCGATCCGGGGCGATCGGCTGGCGATCCGATCCGTTCCCTGTCCGATCTCCTCCTCCTCCTCCTCCTCCTCCTCCTCCTCGAGCTCCTCCTGGGCTGGAGGCCCCTCGTCAGGACGCGCCCGGCTCCGGGGCCGTCTCCTGCGAGGACGCCGTGGGGCCGCGCTCGGGCTCCAGCGACAGCCAGCAGAGCATCCCGGGCAGCGCCAGGGAGGGGTCGCCACGAGGGGGGGGCCACCCGCTCGAGGAGGCTTTTGGGACGTCTGGGGTCGTCGCGGGGGGGCTCCTGGGTCGGCACGAACGAAATGGGTACTCCAGATTTCGTACTAAAAGGGAGGGGGTCTGGACCCTCCAGGACAAGCCATTTCAGACCTCCCCCGTGGGAGAACCCTCCAAAACATCGTCCCCAGACCCCCCCGGGCCCTCCAAGATAGCCTGGAAGAGACCCCCCTCCGAAATGAGACACCCCCTCCCCTTTATTACGAAATCTGGAGTACGGAAAGAATGGGTACGATGCCCAACAGCAGTTCCTGTTCATTTTGAACAGGACTCGCTGTCCGCGCCGCCGCGGCCCGTGTCCATTTGAGACAGAAGGCCGCCTGCCCAGCAGCGGCCGCTGTTGGTTTGGGACAACATTTGATGTTGGGCACTGTACCCGTTTTTTCCGCACCCATTTCGGGCGTCCAAATTGGGGGTGTCGAGAGGGAGAGCCCTCGACATCCAGTGGAGCCCTTGCTTGGGTCTGAGGAGGCAGAGCGGCACGAACACAGACCTTCGGCGGTCGGCGCGGATTTCTTGGATCTGCGCTGTGCCCCCTCCCTGGCGGGCGGGGCGCACCGAGGACGGCGCCAGAGGCGCCGCCAGGGCGCCGACCCAAGAGATCCGTGCGGAGCTCCGACAGCTTACGCTTCTGCCGTTGCTTGTTCCCCTGTCGGGGTAACCCCCCTCTTCCTCGAGGAAGTAGCGCTTCCTCGACGACGACGACGACGACGACGACGACGACGACGATGGCGACAGCCGCACAGTGGTGACCCCCCCTGGCGTTGCTCCGGCATCGGCCTCAGCGCGCTCGCGTCCGACGTGCACACCGTGCCGTTCACCGACTCCCAGCCGAGCGTGCGGGCGGCGCCCGAGCCGGCGCCGAGGGCGACCGAAGCCTTCGGGGCCCCCTCCAGTGTGAAGTCGGGCCTGTCCCCCTACAGGGGTATTTTCGATGAAAAATATAAGATACCAAAAATAGCAAAAAAATAATCCAAAACATAGTCTGGGGACTATTTTTTGAGTATTTTTTTACCTTCTTGGGGCATTTTTTGGGTACTGTTTTTTATGTTTCTTCGAAAATCCCCTTGTAGGGGGACACGCCCGACCTAACTCCAGTGGCGGGGGCTCGCAGATCGTGCCCGCCCGAGGTCAGAAGTTCAAGGTTTTCGGGGGTTCACTTGGGTTCTCGGCGACTTTCTGGCCTCGGGATGCATTCAGCGGCTGCGCCTCGCCGAGAGCGTTCTGGGGGTGCTTGGATCGTCCCGAAAGGCTGGTGGAGAGCTATCTGAGTTATGATTGGAAAACAAAGGGACAATGTCAGCGGGATACGGTATCAGGGAGCATTGACTCCAGATCCGCCCTAAATTGAGAGATGTTGTGAATGGGGCGGAAATGTCTGCCTTATTCTTCAAGCTCCTTTGATGTTGGTTTTCGCCCTACTTTACCGTCGCTGTTTCCGCCTTGCTCTTGCAGTAATGTACGCCCTATTTTTGTTTGAGGTGGAATTTTCCACCCGACATTTTCGCATCGTTTGGGGTGCTCAGTCGGACAGCAACCACAGTACGGCGGATCCAGAGTCAGGGTACGGTCGGGAGCTTTCGGTTCGCATGTCGCGCCGCCGGTTCTGGCCCACCATGCGTCGGCGCGACTCGCGAGCCGTCTCTTAGATAATGAATCACGGAAGCTTCCGCTCGTCTGGGATATCATGTATATCGGCGAATAGCGCCCAATGGCGCTCAATAGCGCGAAATAGCTCCCAATAGCCCAAAGTAGCGCCGAATAGCGCCCAGCAGCGCCACGTGAGGGGGATGAATTGCGTCTGCTTTGCGCGGGACTGATCGCGCTCTCGGGCGACGTGGAACGACCGAAAGCTTCCGTAAGTTGCTGCCTAACGCTTCCCAGCCCCCACGTGTCAACGTCCGGAGCCCTGACCCTGCTTCCCGCCCCGTGGAGCGGAGTGACACGCCATCCGCTCGCAGGGCATGGCGGCAGTCGCAGGGACTGCCGCCACGGCAGGCTAAGCAAGAGCTCCCGACCGTAAACCAGGACCTTGCTAACCATGATGCTGAAACTTCCAGCTGGAGAGATAGAGTAATGGAGGATGTCTCGATCCACGGCTGCAGTTTTCCTCCCAGAGGATTGAACACTTCAGCTCTGGAGTTCGAGCCCAACCTTTGGAGGCAAGAGGCCTCCACGAGGGAGCCAAACAGCCTCTGGGAGTGAGGCAGGACCTCCGTTTTGAAAGTCTTTGACCCTCTGGGCCACGTGCCCACGGAGGAACGAGGGGGGAGGAGAGGAGAGGAAAGGAGGATATGAGGATATGAGAGGAGGAGATGAGAAGAGGATGGAGGAGGATGAAGGAGGAGGAGGAGGAGGAGAGGACCCGGATGACCTGGAGGAGAGGAGGCTTTCCTCCTCTGGAGGGGCGGGCAGGGACCTCCCTGGCCTCTCTCCTCCTGCCTCTCCCCCGCTCTTCCCTTCCCTTCCCTTCCCTTCCCACCCCGGGAGGATGGCGAGGACCTCCTCCTCCCTCCTCCTCCTCCTCCTCCTCCTCCTCCTCCTCCTCCTCCCCTTTCTCCTCCTCCTCCTCCTCCTCCTCCTCCTCCTCCTCCTCCTTCTCCTTCTCCTCCGCCTCCCACTGTCCTCGGCCTTCCCCTCCTCCTCCTCCTCCTCCTCCTCTTCCTCCTCCTCCTCCTCCTCCTCCTCCTCCTCCTGCACTGGCCCGGGGGCACCCGAGTGGGTCCCCACCCCCGCCACAATGGGGGACCCCCGGGCTTTGGGGTTCAGCCCGGGTCTCGCTGCCCGCCACGCCACGGCAGCAAACCTGCCGGGCTCCGCCCTCCCCTCGGAGGCGGTTCGCGCACGGATTCCGGCCCGTCCGCCCTTCGACGGAACGGGCGCTCTGGCGGCGGCGGCGAGGGAGAAGAGGAAGCGGAGGGGGAGGGAGCCGGGAGAGAACCAAGAGGCGGAGGCGACGGACGCACGGCCGGGGACCCTGCGCCACCGGCACCCCCCGTTAGGCGCTCGTGCGACCGCCGGAGGCAAGGGGCGGGGGAGGAGAGGGAGGGGGAGGGGGAGAGGGAGGAGGAGGGGGAGGCGGCGCAAGAGGTAGGCAGCCAGGCGCGCTGCGCGCGGCGCGCGCCCTGCTTCAGCCTGTGGCCCGCTCCTGGCCAGCAGCCGGCCCGGCGCCGCCCCCCGGGCAGGCTGCTCTCGAGCCCGCGCCGCGGCCCAGCAGAGCCGCTCAAGTGTGCCGGGCGCGGTGGGCCGCTGGCCCGGCGCCCGCGCCGTCGGCCCCGGCCTCCCGGCGGGGCAGCCCGGCGCCCGCGCTGCCGGCCCCGGCGGCCGCCCGGCGGGGCGGGCCGCGGGCGGGCAAGCAGGCCGCGCGGTAGCTCTCGGCGTTGCCCCGCTGCAAAGTCACAGCGAGGCTTTGTCGGGCCGCCGTGAGCGCCTCAGCGCCCCCGCGCGCCCAGGTTCGGAGCAGCGCCTGCGCTTCGAGCCCCGCCCGCCCGAGGGTCTCAAGGGCGAAGGCCGTCAGCCCGGGGCCAGGGTAGCGCCTGTGCTTGCGCTCTTCCGCGGCTGCAGCAGCCGCGCCGTCGCGGACAGCGCGACCCCGGCCCGCCGCGGAGCGGGCGCCCAGCGCCGCGTTCGTGACCACGACGTCGGCGTACGCCGGGCCAGCGGTCGGGTCGGTGTAAGCCACATCGAGCCGCGCGGCCTCGACGGTGCCGTCGGGCCCAGCTCTGTCCCAAGCGGGGACGTCCTGCTCGGTCGCCACCCCCGTGGCCCCTTGGGCGCGCAGCCAGCCCGCGAGCCAGTCTCGTACGCCGTTGTGGCGCGCGATGGCCCCGCCGCCCACGTGGCAGTCGACCACGTGGCCGGGGTTGGCCACCAAGTCCACCCCGCACCTCGCGCCGTTGGGCCGGCAGCGGAGGCAGACAGCGCTGGCGGCGCCGGGCAGAGGCAGCCGCAAGCGGAGGGCGAGCGCCGGCCGGAAGTGCGCGTCGGCGAGGCAGTGGTCTTCTTGCGTCGGGGGCAGCAGCCAGCTGCCGGCGCCCTTCCCACCTGCTGAGCGCAGCAGCGCGGCCTGGTCTGGCGGCAGGGTTTCCAGCAGCCTCTGCCGGCGAGCCTGCTGCTCCGCGGCCGAGAGGGTGCGCTGCGCCTTCCGCACGGGCTCCGCCGCGGCCGCGAGCCAGGGGACAGCGCCCTGCTGCAGCGCTCGGCCTGCCCCCTCCGCGGCGGCCCATGCCCTCGGGCAGGCTTGCGTGAAGGCCTCCAGGCTGGTCAGCCCCAGCTCGGCGCAGACGCTAGACAAGCACGCCTGCCACGCCCCCACGAAGGCCGGCAGCCGGCGGTTGGCGAGTCCCTGCAGCCCAAGCCCCCCATCTGCCAAGGGCAGAAAAGCCTGCTCGCGCGCGTCGGCAGTCAGGGGCTGGCCGGCGAGCTCCTCCAGGTGCCCGAGCACCGCGTCGTCGTATGCCCGGCTCCACGCCTCGTCCAGCAGGTGCGCCCTCGCGTGGTGGAGGGCCGCGCCGTTGGCGAAGGTGCGGAGGAGCACCACCTCGTCCTGCGCGCGCAGCCCGTGCTCGCGCAGCTGGCGCAGCGCTGCCAGGTAGGCGTCGAGGTGGCGTCTCGCCGCGGGAGGGGCAGCCGCCGGCGAGAAGCTCGTGCCTCCTCCTCCTCCTCCTCCTCCTCCTCCTCCTCCTCCTCCTCCTCCTCCTCCCCTCCCCCTCCTCCTCCTCCTCCTCCTCCTCCTCCTCCTCCTCCTCCTCCTCCTCCTCCTCCTCCTCCTCCTCCTCCTCCTCCTCCTCCTCCTCCTCCTTCTCTTCCCACTCCACGGGGGGACGAGGACCTCCTTCTCCTTCTCCGTCTCCTCAATATCTTTTCCTCGAAGCATATCTCCTCCCTGTCGCACCCCAGACGTGTCGGTAGGGCAGGCCGGGCGTTTCGTTTTACCCGTTCTTGCTCTCGCCTGAGCTCCGCGCACATTAGTTTTGTTTGTATGCTTGTCTTGTGTGTTGTTAAGTCGCAAGTGTTCAGCGGTGGAGGCCGACTGGTTTTCAAGATGTGGGTTTCGCTGTAGCGCCGCTCATCTCAGAAGTTTACAACAGCTTCATTGATGGATGGAGGTTACTTTTCAAAGTTTGGCTCTCGCCTAAGCGCCGCGCACGTGTGTCTTCAACATTTGCAGCAGCATTAAGGATTCGTTGGTTGAAGTCCCAGGAATTGTGTTCTGGCACGGTGTAGGGACGCAAGAGTCATGCTGATTCGTGGTGTTGAAGTCCCAGGAATGGTGTTCTGGCATGGTTTAGGATTCTACTCTCAGGACGGAGCAGTCACGTTGATTCGGGGCGTTGCAGTCCCAGGGGTTGCGTTTTGGCACCACTGCGGATTCCCAGACGGTTGTATTCCAATGGTGCTTTTCCCGCATTGAACATACATTATCGCAGGGACCTGTGACGAGGGAAGTTGGAGGGAGGATTTATTTCAACATCGTTGGTGCGTCTTGGGAGGTTCTACACTGGTCCTCCCCCTCCTCCTCATCCTACGTGCTCCTCGTCATTCCCTTCTTCGTCGTCCTCCTCTTCCTCCTTCTCCTTCTCCTCCTCTCCTCCTCCTCCTCCTCCTCCTCCTCCTCCTCCTCCTCCTCCTCCTCCTCCTCCTCCTCCTCCTCCTCCTCCTCCTCTCCTCCTCCTCCTCCTCCTCCTCCTCCTCCTCCTCCTCCTCCTCCTCCTCCTCCTCCTCCTCCTCCTCCTCCTCGCCCCCCCATGAATTTACCTTTCCTTCCTCTCCGTCTTCCCCCCCCCCTTCTTCCTCCGCCCGCTTTCATCCCAGAGATGGAGTGGGAGGCCTCCCCGTCCCCCGCGCCAGGGCCCCCTGCGGCTCCTGGCGGCGCAGCTGCTCTCCGCCGGGTCGATGCTGGCGTGGGCGCTG